GGAGAAAACGATACCTGACACAAGGCAAGGTCAACGCACTGCGTGTGACACCTTGAAGAGCATGTTCAGCGTACTAGCGCTTGAACCTCTGTTGAACAAGGTCAGTGCACGTCGCTTGACTCTTGAAAGTCGTAAGAGTATCTGCATGTGAACTTTCTACAGTCGAAAAGCTGCAAAGGCTCAATCTACATCGGCGCGAAGATCTACTGAGTGTAATCTGAGCGAGGCAACTTTCACTGTCAGTTTTCACGAATTAACTTGTATAGCCAAGAGGATGAAGTGCACGCTGTATATGTAAAGACCGCTTAGTTTCAACAGTGCTGTGTAGTCAGAGTCTGTTTTGATAGGTCTCGCGGCAAATTATAGCGAAGCACTGTACATAGGGCCACTGCCCTTGAATTTCAAGTGTGACCATTGCTGATAGCGTCGGTCACATGGGGGGTGTCAATAGCAGTGGGACGACAGCATACCATATGCATGTACAGTATACACTAGCGTGTCACGCCTACATTTGGTTCAAGACTCCCGTAGAGGAAGCGGAAAACAAGTGCGCGCCATCGCTGTCTACGAGGGAGAGGATAGTCTATTTATACTTCACACGTTGAGCAGATTAATACCCACACGCATATATATGTATACATATACAGTACATCCAACCTCCAACCCGACCGGAGGCTAAAAGACCGGTTGCGCGCTTCTTTTTGCTTTTGGGTCCGCGGGCTGACCTTGTTTCCAAAGACGGTGTTTTTGTTGTGACCAGCGGAAACGGCAGAAACCAAAAAAAGCGGCGTTTTTTAGGCTTCCAAACGGCATCTTTAGGCGTCCAAACGACGTTTTTCCCCGTCCATGGATTTTGAGCACATGTTTGCAACCCCTAAAACGGCAATGTGTTTAAATTAGTGCCGGTTGAAGATCCAGGTATAAGTTGTTTGACTCATGTGGCTGTGAGTACCTCTTCCACCAAACCATAGCGGTTGACCTCCCCAGTCGTTTGTCCGCTTCATGTTCGGTGGTCTTCCCTACCGGTGCCCCGAAAAATGACCCACCGTGTGACCAGCTGGTGCGCTGGCGCAGCCAGGCGCACGGCCGCCGCCAGAGGGGGTCACAGGCCACCGTTCCACATCGGGCGGCGGCCTGTTGGGGAGTCTTCCCTGAGCTGGGGAAGAGCGCAGTGGCGCAGGCGCGAGGGCGGCGAGCGGGCCTTTGTCGTCGTTTGCTATCGTCGTCACATCAATGGGGTCAAGGAGCGCGTGGAGTGGTTCTTTCGTCTTCCATGGTGGAGGTCGCCAGAATTCGGGTGTTCCTCGTTACGTAGAGCTGGGAAGATGGGACTGTCCTTACCTCACAGGTGGTTTTGGGGCGCCCCATTGCCGGTTCGGATCGGGGCCGGTTGAGAAACTTGCTTCTACCAGGAGTCACAAAGAGGTTATGTTTGGTCACTATGTGAGTGGATGTTCAGGGAACCCCTATCCTCCAAGCATGGCAACCCTTTGGAACTACTGGTATAGAAGTCCAGTGTGACTTTTGGAGGGACCAGCAAAGTATAGAAGAAGTTCCTAGATTCGAGTCACCTATAGTCAGAACATGTTTCTTTTAAATAGTCCTTGGAGTCTTGGACTTATGATTACTGTAGATGGTTTGTCGGACAAAACCCCAGCCCAAGCCTGTCGGACCCCTCTGGTATGGAAAGGTGAGCCTGTTTGTCTTTACGTGTTTCATCAGTTTCGATTGCCCTAAACACATGTTGTGTTCTCTTTGTTGCATGCGCATCCTCTTTTTGTGGTTTGTTTTCTGGAGGTTAGACCGTTTTGAGCATACGGTCTTATTGTGCAGATTGAATGCTGAAGCCGGAACAAACACAAATTGATCAAGACTGCGTGGGAGCTGGTATTCGCAATTGGTTTATCGGACATCTACGTGCACGTGATGCAAGCACTGTACACACAGCGAGATCCTTCATAGAACATGCCCGCCAACTTTGCTGCCTCTTTGAATGAGTGGCCGAGGTCAAGATTCCAGAATTGCACTTTTACTGGAAAGTGGGACATATATTAACACGAGTTCAAGTGTTGAGTCCATGGAGATCAGAGTATCTCAAAAAAAAGACGATCATACGCATATGACAGGCAGGTCTGCTTTGCTGAGCAGAGGGACATACGAAAGTCTGTGGAGTTCTCTCAGACTCCGAAAACCAATAGGGAGGAGATTGGTCAAATGCTTATCCAACCATCCTACTTCTTTCTGCCGAACTCCGTGAGGTGTCTCGATTGGCACGAGGCTTTGAGGGTGCTTCTTTTGGAACCTGCTGTTCTGCTTACAACTCACAGAACCACAGAACCCAACATTAAGACTCAGCTCATGAAATAGAATTTTGAAAGCAGAATGGATCTCAACGATGCGCATTATATAAACAATCTCTCTTGAAACTGTGTCCCCGAGGGCTGGCGCAGCAGCGTCTAAACCCAAGGGCTAGCTTCATCCTGGAGATTGATGTCAACACTAGCGGGGAAATCCTTTGCCATCGCAATCATCCAGCGACCACTGAAGAGCCCTCAGCAAAGCCAAATCTGGCACGAAACTGAGCCGCTGCTGAGAACATGCTGCGCAGACCTGCTACAGTCTTAGGAGATCGTCGAAGCCAGCCTCGTGGACACCGCAAGCTACATTCTTTGCAAGTCGGCATGCAGCTGGTAATAATAGGCCTCGATCCACAACCTTTGTCGGCTGAGGTTTGTGACTTTCAGCAAACCTGTGCCAGGACAACTGTTCATGGGGGGCCGCATGATCTTCGACTGGCGCGTTGCGATTGCGTCAGTGGAAGGCGCTGCGCTTGGCACTGTGAATCAAATGATGGTGCAATTTGCGGCTTTAGCAGTCTTTAGCAGTCTTTCTGACAACCGCGCATTTGGTCGCATCTGGTACCTTTGACACCCTCGCCTCACTAGTCATGCTTCTGATTGGCGTGCACAACCCACGCTTTCTTGCTGCACAAATATTTGTTATAGTAATATCTCTCGCAAAGTACACACAGGTAGATCGCCTGCAGCATACAGGTGGATCGCCTGCAGCATCTGCAGGTCAGTTAAGACATAGAGCAAATTGTACCAAACTCCGACCAAGACAGGATTTCTGCGATTACCTCCATGCCACACCACGAGCAACGGCCTTCTGACGGACGTGTTGCGTTCAGTCGAGGTCGCTTACAACCCAGACATGGCAACCGGATCCTGCTGAAGCTGTCGAGTGCATTGGGCGCCTGTGGTCAGCATTGCGCCAACATATATTTGCCCGATTGGCTTGCAGACAGTCATCAGTCCAGTCTAGCTGAAGGAAAAAGTCATGATCATTTGAAACATGAGTTTGCCAGCAGAGGTTGAAGAACCCTATAGACTATCCTATAGGTACTCCTGTAGGGTCCTAGTTCAGGTCACTTAACCTCTGTAGGTGTGCGGTCCTCATCCCAACTTCCGGGCTCAGCGCCGGGAGAGTGTCCCAACACATGCTTCGGTCCGTGAGCTCGCGTGTGAACATCCCGGATCTAGCTTCCAGCTTCCTCACGCTGACAAGAGTTCCATCATATGTATAGCTCTCCCACTAGGGCCTGCTTTCCATTTTCATGCAGTCCACATTGCAAAACATCCCGGGAGTTTGATAGCTTGCAGACCGTTCCAACTGTGCAAGGAAAGAGTCTTGAAGGCCACCTCTGTTGCAGCTCTCGCCTTGAGGAGTCGCCAGTGTCACGCGGGCGACATTCCTCGAGCGTCGCAGCGTCCCGTTCGGAGCAGCAGAATTCTATGGCTTTCGACACAGCGGTATGGCGCGCGCGAAGCAGTGGCCGGTTCGAGGGCGCACACCCGGACAACCTCGTGGCCTACGGAGACTGAACCGAAGCACCAGGCGTTTGCTTTGGCGGTGCTTGTATGAATTCGACGGCATGCTGGAGCGAGCCATGCTTGGGGCGAGCCTTCATGTCCTGACACCGATCATTGGTCTATTCGTTTGGAACTTGGGGCTTTGTGGATGAAACGATTCACCTAGTTCACTGAAGATGACTCCTAGATTCTATACAGATCTTTTCTGAATAGCAAGCAATGTGACCATCCCATCAAGGAACTTCTGAACCTGGTTCAGGATGACCCCCTCGATCTTCTCTTAAAGACAATCCCAGACCATCCATAGGACGGAATAGTTGCATACATCTCGACCCCAATATAAGTAACTATTCCAGTCCCATCGCTGGTCTGGGAATGTTTTGTTTTTGCCATCCCTCCACTCACAGCTGCGTCAACAGATTGGCAGCAAAACAGTCCATGCCCATTCCACCCCACAGACCCAGTCTCCTCTCAAAAGCGTGCGGCAAATCCTCTCAAAATCTGGACTCCAATGTCAATATTTTGTTTGTTATACATCAATATTTTTTCCGATCCTTTTACCTAAAATAAATGGTTTGATTCCACTACCCACCATCACCAGGCTCACTGGTCGTGGTATTGGAGCCACTTCGTGTTCATGGCCTGGGTGCGTGCCATGGGCGAAGCTGCAGACAGTCGCAGCGCAGCGTGGAAGCTCCGAAAAGCAGTGGGCGCTGGGGAGTGTGCAGAGGAAGAGTCTTCTTGACTCAGCCATGGGACTGGAGCAGTTACCGACATTGGGGTCATAAATGGGTTTAATGATGCTTAAGTTGATGTCAGGATTCCATACATGGATGGTCTGGGGGTCTGGGAATCTTCCGGCCAAGTGTGAGGGCTGTCTCTTGAGACGGATCATGATGGATCATTGACTCTTGAACGTTGATGAAATTCCAACCCCTCATGTAAAGAGCCTCATACAATCCCGAATGGGTGGTTTCTCAATCAAGAGTTTGCAACGTCTACTGACTCTACGTGTAGAAGAACTTATATAGGTATCCCTATCTCTTTGGGGAACTTTGTGGTCTCTAAAGGGAAACCAACAATGGGCATAAAAGACAGTTCAGCTGGCGGTCCAGAAGCACCCCTAAGGTGGTGGTCGGCATGAAATGGTTGGACCAGCTCCTGGGAAGGCCAGGGCTGTGGATGAAAGGGGTGGGAACATCGTGAGTCTTCTTTGGTTGGAGAAGGAAACCCTGGATACATACATCCCAAACAGTTCCCCCCCGAAGCGGCAGTGTGTCTCACATGCCTGATTCTATTTGAAGCATGTTGTGTTTTTGTGTTTTATAAGGAAACTCAACATGTTTCCACAAGTTTGAGTGGAATGTAGGTGATTCTTCATGCTGTGGTGATTTTGGTATGAGAGAGCCTCTCGAGCCATATGTTGGTCTGACCATCAGTGATTGAACAAATTCGAGGCTTAGAAGGGGACTTGATCAGTGCAAGTGTATATATGGAGCAATATGACGGACGTATTGAAGAACATTCACACAGAAACATGAGCCCATGACAGAGGGTGAAACCTGGCGAATTTGGCAGAATACCATGGATCTTCCTTGCGTTAGGACAAAGCAGGGAGCAAACTTTGGTGTGGCTTTGTACACACATATGTTCCTAAAGGTTGTCACTTGATAAACCTGGAATGGTTGGTGGATCCTGGACTGCCTGGGACTGGTACACATAGGATTAGTCCATTATTCCCAAAACCCAAGAATAGTTGTCTTAGTCACCTTCTTTGGAAACTGGATCTTCTGTCGCAACCTGATTATCTAAATTCTTAGGCACAAATGAGCTGGAGCACACGGAAGTAGAGGCACATATGTTTTTTGTCCGGTCTATGTGTTGACAGAATCACTGGCCATGTTTCGACCGCAAAGTCCCCACCCTCAGCTGTAAACAGTAAGCTCGTCAACACCACAGCTTCTTTTGTATGTTCCGGCATGTTCAATAGAGGGTCATGGCTGCGCAACAGGCAGATCACTCACTCTACATCTTTATAGAGGGCAGACCACTGATACAACAACTGGACCCTCTTGTGTTTCTTGAGGACCAATCCCTGAGCTGCTCATGGTTGGACAGAAATGGAATAATAATCGGAAAACAATTGGACAGGTTAATGAGGTTCATAGACATTATGATCCTTCCATGTTCTTTTCAACAATGCAGCATGTTTCACTTCAACACTTGGATAGCATTGGATCCAACTAAAAAGACCTATCACATGCCCTCCAGCAGGGCTGATCACACTTTGACCGTCGAGGTGAGAAGGAGAAATGGGGAATTCCCTGTGGCATGCTTTTGGTCGGGGTGGGTCACCTGTTTTCGAGAGCTCTTCCAAGTGCGATGTCTCAAGCTCGATCCGTAATTTCTCCCGGCAGGTGTGCTTCGAAGATACCATGTGCTTCTTCTCCCTTTGTGGGATCCTTAGATCCTTTGTGAGACCCACATAGGAGCTTCAGTGTGACTGAGATCTGATGTTCGGTCACTTGTATTGGCCTGGCCATACCTGGCCGCTTAGAGACTCCAAAGAGGTCAGCTTGGAAGCTGGCAGACATACCCCGAGGCCCATGCATGGAAGGTTCAAGGCCCATGCGTGGAGGTTCAGGAAGTGTCTTCTCAGGCCCCCCCCCCCCCCAAAAAAAAGCCATAGACTCTCAGCTTTTTTGTCTCAGCTTTTTTCTGTAGTTCGGGCTGCCTGACTGTGGCTGAAAACCATGGGGGTCATCAGGGTGAAGGTGTCGAGCATGTGCAACTGTTGAAGAGGCTTCCTGCACTGGAGATGCGCGAATCTCCAATGGCAGGATGCACAATTTTCTGTATAATATACACGTCGAAGGTAATTACCATCCTGCAGACTCAACCTGGCGATACATATCACTATCGTTACATGATCCTTTGAACAGGAGATCCGGTTTGCAAGGTGGTCCAGGATGTTGGTCAACATCCATCAACACATTTTACACCCAAACCAGCGAGGGTGAGTAAGAGGATGCCTTCTGTGATTTTGTAGCTGCTCAAAGAACAGACATCAACAACACGGACTGGGGAGAAATAGGGTATGAACAAGGCATATAGGTATAAGCTTGTGAATCCCTACCACTAATAGGCAGCAATCCAGGTTCTGGTCGGTCTGTGGTTTCTTGGGCTGTTTCTGTTGCTCTTCTTCAGAGCCGGTTGCACCGACGAGACCGTCCGAGGCCCCAACGCCGTGAGCAAGCTGTCCCTGCCCTAGCGAACGAACGTCACCGAAGTCGCAGAAAAGCCGAAGAGGATGGTGTTCCTCATGCGAAGAGATGGGGTGCATATATATATATATATATCCGTTTTTTTGGTTTTCGTGGGCGACGATGAGACGGTTCTTGGCCAAGGTTGGGAGTGGGACGTGAGTTCTTCGAGTCTCGTGTGATGGAGGAGTTCTTGGAGTTGATTTGGTTGGGGAGGGATTCCTAGGGCTCCAATTACCTGCTGAGAAGGTGGTTGGGGTGGGTTTGGGGGATCTAACCACCTTCTAAGGATATGGGAATATTAGGTGACAAGCTAGTCGTACATAGAATCGTGCCGGTTGCTAGTCTCATTACTGTACAACTCAACGCAGCTTGGCCTCTCCGCTCAGAACCACCACACCAGCGAGCCTCGTGTGGGATGTAAGCAACAGGGTTTTGGTCTCAGCGAAGACAGGAAGGCCAAGTAGCAAGGAGATACGAAGCGTGCAACTCACAATAGGCTTCGCACACTGAACGCGCTTAGGTGGAATCACCTCTAGTCGCAAAGGCCCACGTCCCACTGCGAGCGTAGTTTTTTTGTTTTTTTTTTTCTGGAACTGTTGATTGACGCTTTCCTCAAAGAAAACCTGTAAAAATATGTGGGTTCTGCAAAGAGGACTAACGATAAGAAACGTGATAGACACCCACTGGTCATTCAAGGGGTCCAATCTCGATGCTTTTCAATCAAAATTGGATCTTGTGGCTTTGAGCGCTTGTTTTGAAGTCGTTGACTGTGTTAGCCACCGTACTTGTTTAGAATTTGGAACTTGCTGGGGGCATCCCTCGGTGGAAATCTTCAATGGTTGTGCTTGACAAAATGGCTTATTAGCACCGGATATGTTTCTGGGTGATGCCACTAAACATCACAAAATCATGCACAGTTAAGCTCTTTTGCATGGAACTATATAAATAGGGACGGTCAAAGAATCCTGGATTCAATGACCCCAAGTTACCAAAGCTGGACACCCACAACCGGCAGCGCACCGTGTGAGCCTTGGAACTCCTTAGGGGGCCGCCGGGCTTGGCGCCCAAGATGAATGGTTGGCTACCGCTGCGGATTGTGGGTGGCCCGGCGCCGAACGAGGCCGGGCGTTCCAGGATGGTCAGGGTGCTCAGTGACCTTAGTGACCACCAAGCACCAACCAGGGAGGATGGTTGTTGGATGGTTAAAACATCAGGAGGGTTTTATAAACCACCACAGTGTGGTGCTGGCAAGAGATCATAAGAATAAAGCAGTCCAGCTCACCGACATCAGGCAAGAGTTTGTACCAGCTGCAACAGGGCTGGCCTCGCAACTGAAAGGTTTGTTTAGACCCCAAACACCTTGCTTAGTAAAAGGGCTCATCCCCTACAGTGAGGTCTCCAGTGCTTGTGGGGCCATTTGACCATACCCAGTTGGCTGCCCAAACATGGGGCATGGAGAAACATGGTGAAAACGGACAAAGGCATGAGGAACTCTGTGCATGGACACTTCAATTCTGTGAGTTCTGGGGCAAGAGAATTCAAGAAGCATCGGTCCCCTAAACCACGCTCCAACCACCACCTCGGACGGTGTTTTTCCATATCCAAACCTTAGCAGGTCATTGGAGCTCAGAAGTTCTTTTTCAACCATGGTGGCCACTGTGGTTGTGAACTATCCAGTTCGTGGAGTGAGAAGCTAATGCGTCGAGTTGGAGTTTTCAGATCTTTGAGTTGGAGTTGTTCAAAGAAGGACCTGAACAGAAAAGGTATTTGCTTTCGGGACTGGTGACTTGTTTTTGCAAAAGATTGTCAAAGGTTCATGGGTCCTCATACAGCTTGGGGCCCGGGCCTGACGCCGCCAGATTCCATGCACATACTGTGTCTTCCTTGCATTCCATGGGAAGCGATCTAGATTGGTTACCCTTACCAAGGTGAAATTTGTATCGACAGCGCATCAAATCAGCACATGAGACAATGTCTTCTTCGCCGTATGGACCCTGGTGTCATTGTCGACTATGAGAAGCAACTGATTTGAGGGGAGCTTATTTGGTCAAGATCTTTTGTGAACGCTAACCTGCTAAACCACCAGAAAACCCATGCGACAAGCAGAACAATGCACCAACAAGTGAGCTTATCAGCGTTTGGCTCCTGACAACCACATCCTGCGGTTTGCTTTCGCCCCAAAAACACCCCTCCAGGAGGAGGAAGAAGAGGAGGTCTGCGGGGTAGCGTCACTCGCATTCCCGACGGGTGGGTTTGGATATTCCTGGATGGTCAGATCCATCCCAGAGAGTCCATCTTGGAGCCTTAGAGGTGTAAAACAGGTGTCTTGATGTCCAGGTCTCAATGGTATGGTCTCGGAGACATTGAAGCCTGCTAGCAGGCGACAAGATCTAGCAAACCAGAGTTGACGTTGCCCTGGTGTCGTCCAGAACGACCTTTTGACACATGGCTTCGACTCATTGAGCCGAATGAGAATTTCCAAACCAACCACGACTCGTTGTGCCAAGGGCCAAGTCTTTGCACTTCGAAAGGTTTTTGAAAGGACTCGAACATTGGATCAAGATGATCAAGATATCTATTTGGGCTGGACGATAGGGCAAAGATCATCTCTGATTCTGTTTTCTTATCCCTTTGTTTAATGACTTTAGTGACGGCTTTGAAGAAGCTCTACTCAGAGGCTATGAAGGATCTGGAGCAACAAGCGATTCGAGGGTTGTGGTATACGGTATATACATGTTCCTGAGGATTTGGCCAAGAATATGACACCTGGAACACTTGAACGCGTGCTATGTGTTTAAGATGAGCGGCATAGATTGTTGGTGGTTACCAAAGAAGCTGATCAGTCAAGTAACCCATCGAAGAGAGATAGTTAAGGGAAAAGGGACTGTCAAGATGGAGGCTTACGAAGCTTGGTGCCCTTCTGAGCACTGCACTGAAGCTTCATGAGCAGAAACAGCTCATGGTTTTCAAAGGTGAATTTGAGCTCGTGGAGAGGCGGCTGGATTGGTTCAAAGACAAAGCCACCTCCCAGCGCTCCAGACCCAGGTCGCAGCGAGGTCGTGGTACAAAAATTCTCCACAGATTAAGGTGGAATTGGAAAGCACACCAGTGTCACAAGGTGTTGTAGTAGTACATTGTGGCTTCTTAGAGGATGATGCCAGTGACTTTCAATCCAAGGACTCATGGTATAGCAGGTGGATTTGCCTGGTGTGCAACTTGTATGATCCGTAATATGTCCAGATTCCCATACGGTCTATTGAGATTTGTTCATTTGCCTGGGCAGTTGGAAAAGACAGCTTTGGGATGATCTGGGATCAACGCCGGATTTGCTTTTGTTTGCCCTGCACCAGGAAAGCAGCTGTACTGGAGGCGAACAGTTGCATCGGAGAAACCAAACGCGCGGGTTGCATCAGTGGTGTGGAAGTTTGTTCATTGTGAAAGACCGTTTGGCACTCAAAAAGGATAATCATTACTAGTTTCTTTACCGCCTAAAAGCCTGGTTTGTTTTTGGGCCCAAGGTATGCGTGCATATATATATATATATATATTATTGCATTATATTTCGGCATGTCTGTTTTGTGCAAGCTCATATCTTTGTTGATTTGTTTAACTTGTTTGACTCCCTGGCATGATGTGGTGCAATCTATGGTTTGTTGGCACTCATCCATGTTCCAGAGTAGCATTCACCCCTGGCATTCTATCACGTCCCTGAACCTTACTGAACTATGAAAAGGTACTGGCTGCGGCCAAACAGTATTGAATAAACAAAGTGTCACCGGCGCCACATGAGCACATACACTGCAATATGCAGTTGTTGTGTTTACAATTTAATGATATTATATACATACACTGCTAAACTGTCCTCTAGAATAATGGTTGACAGCGGGGTCGAGGGGTGTTTTCTGATGCGGAATAACCATAGTATAGGAATTCCTTGCCGGATTCTCCAAACAAGCAGCTATCCAAAGAACTTTGTGGAACCAAGGGCCTAGCAAAACAGCAAAGCAGAATCAATGTTGTTACAATGAACTGAGAGAAGCCGGCCTTCAGAAGAACATAAATACAGTAGATAAACACCACCCAAACACACACACATTTACATTTCTGTTTGTCCATACTTCGTGTTTGCCGCTCCGGCAAGCAAACATTGAAGGGGTGATGCTGGGGGTACGCATCACTTAAACCCAGCGTAGCTGGATGGCATTGTTGTTGAAGAACCGGGCAAGTAGAGTCTGTTGTGTCACCAGAAGAGATCGATTGAATCAACTGAATCCAAAAAGCAAGGAGGGCCTAGTGGCTTCCCAGGGCCCAACGCTCTGAAAGCCACAACTTGATCGCTCCTGTCCTTCCATCCACATGGTGCATGTGTATATTTTTATCAATTTCTCTTTATCAATTTCTCTCCTTTTTGAGGCCAGTCTTCTAGAAGGTCTTGTATAATCTTCAATAAAAGTTGAATACGTCTTCAAGAAACTGGGCTCTTGAAGCCTCCAAGAAGCCGGGGCCCGTCTCACTTCACGCATCACCTCGCCGCCCCGTCGCGAGACCTCGCCAGGCTGGCGCCTCCAGCCGGGCGGCGGTGCCCGACTCGTGGTCGCCCGGACGCGACGCGCGGGCGGGTTCGTGGGCCCTCAGAAGTCCGGGACGGGAAGTGAACGACCCTTAGATCTGAGGCCTCCAACATGTCACACAAAAACTTCAGGGGATGCATGAAATGGAATATTGAGTGAGCTATACATCTGAGGCCTCAAAACAAAGCCTATCGGGCCTATCATTTAGGCAAAGACATGGCTTGTTTGGGAGCTTGCTTGGCCCTTTGAAAGACTCCGCTTGAAGCCGCTGAGAGACGCAGAAGCCGCTGTCCGAGAGCTCTTTAAGGATGCCAAACTAATTGGAACTGTGAGATTTGGCTGAAGGAGGTCTCAGACGTGAAAAGTGGGCACTTTCAAGTTTGGGGGTGGTTTAGTTAGATCCATCCCATTTGAATCCCGAAAATCTCCACGGAGCACCTATCTCCGTGAAAGTGCTTCATTCGAATGGTTCTACCGGTTGTGGGATGTGTTTGGGGGCTCGGAGAACCTGGACGGCTGGACGGCTCTTTGCGGCGAGAGTTTCCGACAGAACGTGGGGCGACGATGACTTCGTCCGTGGAGATTACCGCCGATAGGACACTCCAGCACATTGGAATCGTTGTAGACCTTCACCCCCTTTGATGATCCTACCCAGACGCGACCCGTTCGGCCGAACCTATGGAGGGGGTCGGACCCGAATCGTTTGGAGGGTCCCTATAGGTTTTGAGGGAGGTTTTGAGCTGTGAACAGAGCGTCTGGGTAATGGCAAATAATTGGTAAATATTCCATGCTCAATCCAGTGTTTGGGTACTACATCATGGTACTACTAATTACTCGTTCACTCGTACTCCGTACGCCTGAGGCTCTCGAGCTTGCTTTGGTGGAAGAAGTTGGGTGCCCCAGGGTGCAAGGGCTGTGTCCAACACGCTGGAACTCAGCGACTCCGGCGTCGACCGGTGAAGGTGTCAGAGCCTAGCTGATGCCAAATGATTTCATGGGTTGCAGTGGGAGGTCTTGACATTCTGACTGAACTCGGGTTTTATGAGCCTGTAGCCCCAAGAGAATCCAAAAGACGAAGGGCTCAGATACTCTGCGTATGCTGACTTTTCGGAACATGTAAAATGACACGCACGAATTCGTTGGAGTGGGAGCGGCATGGCTGACCAGGAACATGCAGCGCCGCTTTGCGAAAGCGACCCTGGACCAGACCTGGTTCTTCAGTACGTAAAACCTAACTTGATCCCCTAATTTTGAGATCACTTAAAGTTGTGGACTCCCAAAAGGTCACTGAGTCACTTTTGAAGAAGCTGGGACTTCTGTCCCATGCATTGCCCAGAGCTTCACGATTGAAGCAAGATTTGAAGTGGCAAGAACACTCATCAACGGGGAAATGCAACATGCAGTGCACTGCGTAGTTGGTTTCGTAGTGTTTGGTTGAGTCTACATGCTTTCATTGAGCACTAAGCAAAGTTTCGACAACTCAAGCATTGTCACACGCGGAGAGCCGAAGAGGGGCAACAAAAGTCAACATGACATGATTTTCCATAAGCCAGCTGGCCTGATGCTAAACTCCAAATGATGCATGCTTAAAAGGACAGAAGAGACAAGCAAATATTTTTGGGACTGGTTCATCAAGTTGTTGTTGAGAGGGCTACCAGAGCACCGCCTCATATAGTCCGCCGTTTCATACTACCAATATATAAGTGGCTCATGTCTTCTGTTTGTTATAGACCATTAAGGCAATGTTATGCAATGTTAGAGCCTTACGGGAAACCACGTTGAATGCGTGTTCTTTTTGCCTAAACCCAGACATGGCCCGTTTGGGGCTGCCCATATGACTGCCGAGAAACAGCCAGGGGGGGTTTTGGGGGCTCCATGAAACGGCATGCATTCCATACAACGAGTGTTTGTGTCGCCCTTCTGTCCCTGCAAACGCCCGCTGTCTCCTTCTTCCATGCGGCACGTGGGGGATGTCCAACAACGAGGCCCTTTCCAAGGCGATCTTCGCCAAATGGACGCCCCATGGAGTGTCTGTCATCGACCGGGTGTCCTCGACCATCGCCTTCCAGGTGGGGCGCTGCCTGGGCGAGGAAGGCGAGCGAGCCAAAGCGCCCCTTGTCGACCGCAGAGGGGGCGGTGGGCGAACGGCGCCGAGGGGGCGCAGGGTGGTCAAGAATTTGCAAGGGGGCCGAAGTCATATTTGGGGAGTGTCTATTTTCCTGGCAGAGAGCCTTAGCCTTAGTGACTAGATGTCTCGGTGCCCGGAATGAAATAGAGATGTATACACAGAAACGTACAAAGACTAAGATTACCGACGTCATATTTGGGAGTTGCAGTGCACCCTCTCTAAAGGCAGAATAAGACAGAGCCTCGGTGCTTTGGGCATTTCGATGCGTTTTGCCATGGTATGAGGTGAGTTGTGTTCTTGATGGTTCAAAACCTGCTGACCAGGCTGACTGGAAGGGCCAAAACCATTGGCCGTGTTTGAAAAAAATGAAGTCTACTTGAAGACTGGGATTCTCATTTGCATGAGAAGGGGACCTAATGTTTGAACGACTGAAGTAGCGGAACTAGACTATCAAAAGGTTCACGCGCTGGTTCAAGTCCCCTTATAACGCCTGCAGTCGACTTAAGATTGTCAAAGAGTTACCGCACAATGGAGATGCTTTCGGAATACCTTTTCTGCTTTTTGTGGCACTGAAAATGTGTCTTTTCGGTTTAGCACTGAATAAGTGCCATTTCTGGTCTTGGCATTGTCCCTCACGCTCTCTCGCTCTCTCTCTCTCTCTCTCTCTTTGTCTCTTTCGTTTGTCTTTTCTTTTCATGTCTTTTCTTTTCATGTCTTTTCTTTTCATGTCTTTTTAGATTTGATCGGGATACCATCAGAACAGGAGCGGGACACCATCAGAACAGGACCGGGCCAGCATCAGAGCATGAGAGGGACTATGGCTGGGACACCACCAAAGCACAACTGGGACCATCAGAACAAACCGGAGCATGACCAGGACACCGTGACGAAAAGAGCGGCCGAATAGGACGCCAGACTGGGACATGACTGGGACACCAGAAGGAGCGGGAGACCATCAGAACGGGATGGCACCATCAGAGAATGAGCGGAAGACCATCATCAGAACAGTGCCATCAGAATAGAACAGGGACACGCCAGAGCATGAGAGGGACTTCATCAGGGCATGACCGGGACACCATCACAACAAGAGTTTGCGATGTTTTCGGTGGAGCCCAGACATGGCTTCCTCTGCTTGTGGCTCGGCCGAACACCTCAACGAAGGGGCAGGTGCTGATTAGACAAAGGACGGCCACACGGGTCAGTCGGATGCACGAGTTGCTAGCATGACGTTTCGTCTCCCTCCGGCTGCAAGAAGTTGTACACGGAGCCCTTGGAGGTGGGTGCATCTCCTGCGTCGGTGGCGAAGGCTAACGCAACATATGCAGCCGCAGCGCGATCCTTTGTGGCGGCCATGCAACTGTTAAAGCCAGCCAAGGATGCTCCCCCCGAACAACATCCGCTCAACCCAGAAGAGGAAGAAGAGATGGCACAAGGACAAGACACTCACAGTGCCGAGGGTCAACAAAAGCGATGGGACATAGGTCCACTGCTGGGCACTAAACCCCCACTGGCCACTTGCTAGGCTCACATTCAATATTCCAAAATTGTGCTGGAAGCATTGGGCTGCAGGCCGCCACACAAGCTTGGAATGCCCTCTTCTCCCTCACCAGGCAATTTTCAATCCACCTTTCCGACCTCTTCTCCTTTACTGACGATCCTGCAATCAAGTGTGCAGCGGAAACTAAGCAATGGCTGATACTGGGCATTGCGTATATTTGGCATAAGGCCATCCTGCAGGAATACACCCATAAAATCATCGAGTTCACTGCCCAGCTTCGAAACAAGGAGAGCAACCAGATCGCACAGGTTGGAAAAATGGTCCGCGAAGTTGGTCAGTCACTGCCAAGTCCTCCTGAACTCCGCCGGCCGCCACGCCCTGAACCACTCTAGTTCCACGCAGAAGATGGCCCCCGAAGCTAGTTGCTCACTGCCAAAGTTTGCAAAGTTTGTGAGCTTTGAGGGTTCCTCAAGTTGCCTTTAGGACATGCCGGAGCAAGCTGTTGATTCAGCTATGTATGTCTCCATTCGCAAAAAGGGGATAGACCGATAGACCTTCAACCGGTTTCGAAAGGCTAAAGGAAGGATGCAACAGAAGCGGCCATGTTTGTGCCCCGTCGGTTAGGTTTCATTGGGAGATTCAACATCATACGGTCAACCCAGACAGTGATATGGGCGCAGAATGACAAATAATAGCGGTTAACAACCTTGGTCACTCAGTCATGCAGCGGCTGAACAATTAAACATGACAAGCAAATCCGAAGGACCTGGCAGTTGCTGGAAATCGTTTATCCGCTTCCATGTGAGTTCATCAGAGTGTACTTACCATACTGGTAGGCAGGAATCTCGTGTGTCTCAAAAAACATGTATATATAAACAGACAAAATCTTCAGCGCTGCACTTTCCCAGACATCGTACCCCGGCAATTCGTGCGTGGTACCACCGTGCCACACTGCCTAGGCTCCGGCAAGCCTTGGCCATCTTCAGAGAGCAGAGCCAGGCGTCGTTGCAGATCGATTTCTTTTTTCGGAAGTGGTTGGTGACACGGTGGTGCGTAGGTTTCAGGTGGTTCAATGATTAAACCTGGCCGAAAAAGAATCACGTGCAAAGTTTGTTTGTGAAGACCTAGCCTATATTTGATGGACAGGGTTTCAGAGATATCTTAAAGAGTCGAATCTGCCTCGGCATTTGACATGCGTCATGCGTGTTTTATTTTTGACAACGATTTCGGATGAAATGATTGGGGCCAGGTCAGTAGACCATTCGCCATGGGGTTCTAGCATGTATAGTTCTACATAATCACTTCTTTCAAATCATGGTTTTCATCTGCTTTAGGCTACCCTACATCAATAAATCCAACAGTATCGTTTGTAGCAACAACTCCAACCTGCAGACCCACCCAAACGCTACGCTGCGCCCGGTTTGTGTGTCCAACACCGTCCAACGGTGGAGCCGAAACGCTCCGCCGCCCATCGCTTCGCCCCTCCGCCCCTCGTCAGGTGCTGAGCGACCGTTGGCGCTCGATGATCACCCGCTGCTGCGGTGCCTTTCCTGGGATGCCGCCGGAAGTGGCCTGGGATGCCCAGCAAAGGCCAAACCAAGGAGCGCAGAGCTGGAGCTTGAGGGGATTTGATGGGATGTGGCATGATTTGGAAAAGGTGTAGTGTAGACTCTTGATTAAGAACACCCCCTATATGAAGAGGTGTTTCAATTCAAATGGGGTGGGTGCATGCTGATGACCAATGTTGGACCGCTTCCAACTCATCAGCAGATCCGCCCTGGAGAAATTCCAGGCTTAGGGATCCATCGAAAAAGAAGCTTTCCCAAGGAAAAGTCATGGGGGGATCAAAATGTCCATATGTGTTTTTGTTTCAGGTCGTTGCGGGAATGTAGCCCTAGCTTGAACATGTTTGAACAAGATACTATTCTTCCAAGTGGCTGATCGCCCATGGAGGCTGTACATCCTCGCAGCTATGATCATTCAAGGACCTTTCCTGCCTCAAACCCAACTGTTCCACGTCTTGTTCACAGCATAACCTTCACCGTAACGAACACTCCAACACAGGTTGAGTGACCCTATAGACTATCCCACAGGTACCCCAGTAGGGGCCTATAAGGTCACTTAACCTCTCTTGGCTGAAGGTTTGGGCCATCGCCGAGCACGCGGAGCAGTGCGAAGTGCCGGCCGGAGAGGCCACGCGCACCCAGAGCGAAGAGCGCCGTGCGGTTGGAAGGGCGAAGCGGTTGAGGCGGACAGTGCGAATGGGACTGGGAAGACCGGAACACGACCAGACCGAACAGAACGGGTGTGACATGTCCTGCCTGGAAAGGGCGCAGGTGCTTCGATTTGCAGACCAGGGATCAATACTTCGAAGACCGGCAAGGTGATTGGGATAAAAGGTGAAGTATACGATACAAACAAAATATAACAAAATACCGATCAAGAGTGGATTGAACGATGGTAATAGAGCAGAAGCAGGCCTATGTAGAACATGGTAGTAGAACATGGTAGAACCTAGAAGAGAGCTTTTTCTGAAGTGCAAACTAAGTCATGTCAATTTCAATTATTGCGTCTTCCCTGCAAAACAGGTGTACGATGGGTTCTCGTAACATATTAATTTCAATGATTCATGTTTTTTCAATTGGCGCAATTTCTTTTGAGACATTTGGAAGAGGTGGAGTTGAACAGATCGAAGCTTGTTGAGAGAAACCCTGGTCGAAGCCATGGCGCTAAAAGGAGGTCGTGGCCACAACGATGCCGAGGCAGCTGTGCAACCGCGGTGAGGGCTGCCATTCGCCTGAAATCCGGGGACGTTCAAAGGATCGTTTCAGCAGCAGTCAGTCGCATGAGCCAACTGCTGAAGCAGATCCGGCTATCAGGAAATGTGCCGTCTGTGGTGAGCCGGCGGCCATGAAGAAGAAACCGCCCCGAGAGTCCATTGTGGGCAAGAAGCCGGCTGCGGAGGCCGTGAGCCGAAAGCACAGCACATGTTGCCAGCTTGTCCACAGCAAGCCGCTGTTCATCAAGCCCGACTGGTGTGACAAGATGTGCTCATGAAGGGCGGGAGATTCGAGGTCATGGCAACTGCGGCGGTGCACCCCGGCCCGCGTTACAGAAAACTCCACAATTTGTTGGCAAGGACCTCCTTGTTGAGTGGACAGATGTCCAGGCCTTGCAGCTCCCATGTCCAAAACCAAATGCCTCTTGAGGTTCTTGAAACCAGTAATTTTCTATTTTGATGACCTAATTTCTCAAAATTGGCCGACCCTCAGAGTGTCCTGCAGGTTTGATGCAGCACATGATGGATTTTTGTTTTTAATAACCCACAACGAAGCCTTCCGCATGGAAATCCTTCAAGTTGCCTCGTTCTCGTGGGCAAGCTGCAATGGCCGTAGATCACCCAGGAGCAAGGAAGGATTTGCATTGCAGCATCGCAGCGAAACCACTTGGTTGGTGAAGTAACGATGCGGATTGTTTCTTGGTGGGCCAATTGGTGTTGGGCAAGCGGCGAAGAAGGCCCTTCTCCTGGGTTCCTGAGAGATATTATGGAGTATGGTCTCCGTTTTTGTCATGTTCAACGATTTTGGTTGCTTTCTGGGGACAGGCCGGTCCCAAAAAACTGACAAAATTAAATTTTTTGCAATGTCTAACATTGTGTTTCAATCTCCTACTCCATGTGCCTCACCACAACCAACGTCAACAACAGGCCCCCCAGACCGACAAACTCCTGAGCCATTAGCAGAAGATCGATCCAGATGCTGAGCTGCTGCATCTCCAACTATTCCCATAAACCTGTTGAGGAACCAAATCCAAAGCCATCCCCAGCCAGCAATGCTTGATGCACCAACAGCTCTGTGAGACATTTTGACTCCTGCAACAGGTTCGATCAGCAAGAATTCATTTAATTTGACAAAGGGCGTACACAACCCTTTGTTGCATCAGCACAACACAGCACAGATTTGGAAGGGTGCAATTTTGAGGTGGACGATTTGGACAACAGTCCACTTGGCATATGGAGGGCGGCAAATCAACTTGAATGTTCATGATCAAGATATTTGCAAATTCCGTGCTGCCTGCCTGGATCTGATCCCAAGACGGACCAAATTTTGCCCTCCACGTCCTCGGCAAGCATGAGCTGCAGCACGTACCAATTTCCTTAACCGTTTGGATCATGTTCGCAGTTCAATCCAGCAACGTTTTGGCAACAAGTTCGCCAGGAGTTTGAGTTCATTGCGGACGCTCAAGATTCCGATTCGTTCACGAAGTCGAGCTTTTCGCAACCTGCTTTCAGATGTGTGGCCCAACCTTCTTGAGGCACGGAGGTTCAAACACTTGAACGGCGTGATATGAATACACAGGTTATGCAATTCATGTATTCAAGCACTTGATTATGATGTTTCCTAAAAATTCAATAATAAATAATTGCCGCGAATTTCATTTTTACAAATCGAGTATGCAACTCAAGCGGACAAACGCGAAAGGTAAAGACAGACGATGCGTTGCATCGACGGTCGTTTGTACAAAGATATCTGAAACTAGGCATACAGAAAAGTGGCAATACTGAAACGCTCGGATATATATATATATATATCAATTATGGTCCCACAGTTATACGCTCCGTATCAAATTTACACTCCTACACGGATTGCATCGAAGCCGCAATAATCAGTGCCCTTAAAGATCCTTAAAGAATAAAATTAAAGGGGTGTAATCGGTATTACCAGGAATAGACGTTTTCTTAAAATAGATGGCTCATGGGAAGGAACGTGAATAACTATAGATAGCATAAAGGTGAATCGAATAATATTTCGCGAAGCGAAAAAAATCTCCACAAAATTATACAAAAAGGTTATATGGGATAAATACTCGTTAATATCGAGCAATATAATTCATAAATGCTATATCAAAATAGTGGGTACACACGCGCGGCATTAAAGTCGCATTATACAATTTCAACGTCATATTGCTATCATTCCTCCGTATAACTTTACCTTATGTGATACAACAATTTCATCAAAATATTGAAACCAACAAAAAAAGAATCGAAATAATCAATTTAATCATAAATTATTACATAAAAACAAGAAAAAATAAAGATATTAAAGACTAATTTATCAATCTTTATCCCGAATAAATTTTCAAATCAATACCTTTATTTCACAAAAAAAATCAAGAGATTTTGACCACTTACATTTTCTATTTTCTTTATTTTTTTAAAACATTCCTTCTTTTTTGTTTTAAGCATTTTATTAGCGATTACTATGTTTCGCCTTGTAATAGTTATTTACAAATTCTCCCAATTATCATTATCAACGTTATATTTATATATGTTAACAATACTAATTTAATATCGCATTATAATACTATATAATTACCTAAAACCTAAATAACCTATTTTGGCTCACCACCGACCCAAAATATAATCTTTTCCTATCAATTCCGAACTCAAATAAGCTCTAAGCATATTATACTTCAAAAAACAGTTAATATAAATATTTATATCAATAATGCATTCAAGATTCAAAAAACATCAACTTCGGCCCCGGCACCGTTATTATTATTATCATCATCATCGTACAATTCATTATATATATTCATCATCATCGTAAAGATCATCATCGGAAAAATCATCATAACCATCATCATCATCAATATAATATTTGTTTAACATCATCGTCGTCGTCAATATCAACATCATCTACATATTTAATACGCGTACTTCGCATACTTCATCGCCAATTATCTTATTTCAGACAAGTTATAGCTATGTTCTTCCAATTTTTATATATAATAATAGATTTCCTATATCTTCAAAATTATAAAGTCCGAAAAATTATATATAACTTAACATCTAAAAATTCAATCATTCTAGAATCCATCAAATATAAAGTAACTTAAGCAAATTCAATTGTCAACAAGTTTCGTTCTACTTGAAAATTCCTAGATTTCGCCTACCATCCACCAGTTTCAATAAATATATTGGATCCACAAAATCCAACAAGCTTTTGACTTTAATCCAACATACGGAGTTACCATAATATATCTTAATTAATACGTCACTTTTATATTTTAATTTACATAAATCATTGCAAGAAGTTATTACAAGATAATCATCGTGCATTTCGCAACCCAAGCTTCTACACTAATGCATCTTAATTACTAAAAAAAACTTACGAGTTAAAGGCCATTACGTGGCTATTACCTTCTTATATTACTATCAAAAAACATTAACATAACGGCATATTGTATATATATACATATCACCATACTCAAAGAGAAAACAAGGACATACTTATACACTACTAAAGTCGCACCAAAGACATTTATATCATTGTTATCAGTGTTATTTAAATATTAGAATAATACGATCTTAACATTGATAAAATATATACAATATGTTTTATTACTATTTTTATCAAGCTCGATTCTTTTAACTCTACTCATCCTGTCGAAGCCACGAAGCCACTATTAAACACCGGAAAGGATCCCCCTTCACGTCCTGTGCAAATTTGCCTGGCGAGGAGAGCAACAACCAACAGGGCGGGAACACAAATGTGGCAGTGGCTATGATTTGCTATTACTGCCGGTTTCCCGAATGCGTAGCGAAGGGTTCGTTTTAAGTCTAGAGGTCTAGAGGTTATGACCGTGTTCGCCGGATCTGTTGCGGCGGACGTCGTTTTGGGGTCGATTTTGCGTCGAAATCGCGGCTGCGCTGTGACATTCGGATTTGGGTTTTCAGTGTGGTGTTTCGGGGGTGTTGGATGCAGCTATAACAAGGGGATTTGCGATTCGCAGTTGTGTCGCAAAGCTGTGTTTTCGTGACAAGTCTCAGCCGAAATGGCGATTTTGGTGGAAGTGATCGTGGTGGGAAAGTATCGAAATCATTCTGAACGTGTGGTGTGGTGCAAATTTTGCTCGAGACGTGAAGATGTGATGTTGTCGCTTTTCGTGGCAGGCGCAGTGTTTTGTGCGTGTCGGATGTGTGGAAGTGCAATTTTCGTGGCAGGCGCAGGGAATCGTGAGGTTGCGACATTGGGCGGTTTGAATGTCGCTATAGCATTGGGATTGGCGTGTGAGCGGCTGTGTTTTGGGAGGCTGGAATCGCTTGGCATGCTTACATCATCATCCTGGGGAAGATAGACAGTGCAACCTCACAAATGTTGTTTTCCTATGTGAGCCGCGCTAAGAACCTCCCTGTTCATGTTTAGTAGAGGGCTTGTCATATGAATCCTTCGCGTAAGCAAAACTCTGATGTGCGTAAGGTTGCGTAAGCATTTTTTGTGAGATGAAACTTGGTAAGCCGCGTAAGCAAGTCGAAATTTAACATACCATGTCACATGTATTCTTGAAATGTTTGGAAATTATAGGAGACCTTTGTTGATGAAGCCTTGGATTGGATCTTTTTCTTGGCAATTGGTATGGTCGAAGGTGATTGGCTCCACAGAAAGAAGGGTTCTTGGGGTTCCTGTAGTCATTTATATACAGGACATAGGCATCAGGACAGAGATTTTGTGGGTCGACACATGCAAACATTACTCCTATAGCCATACAAACAACTCCCGTAGCCATAAAGTCTACCAGCAGTTGTCAGACACACTATGTCACCATGCAGTTATCGGGTTTGGTGTCGGTAATACGCGTAAGGCGCGCGTAAGCTGCGCGTAAGCCCCCCTCTCTTTTGTAGACGGTGGCCCACGATGCCTCCTAAAAAGCAGGTTTTTTCTGACTCGCAATGGCGCCAAAGGCAACGCATTGTCCAGACCATCTACGAAATCCTGGCTTCTCACTGCCCTACACCCGCGGACGTAACAAACCTGTTGTGTGCTGTGCTTTGCTTGGAAAACAGATGGCGCGAAAGCTGGCGCTGTGGCCGGGTGCAGGATTGTGTTCGCGTAAGTGTTGCGTAAGCCCCTTTGTGTGCAAAGTGTGCGCGTAAGCTGCCATTGTGGTGGCGTAAGCCAGGCGTAAGCTGCTGCGTCAGGAAAGTCTTACGACATAGGCAGATGCCACACGTTTTGAGCACAGCTCATGTGTTTCTTCCCTGAAGAAAATCCCGCTCATGTTACTGCCGTACCCTGACGAGGAATCCTCAAAAAACGAACAAAACAAATCAAAATCTGTTGTTTCATGCGATCATGCAAAACATTCTGATGTTTCTCTCGAGAAATCAGTGTCCTCTGCGCACGATGCACACATGTCGACGAGCAACCGAACGGTAAGGTCTTCATCAAAGAGGGCGATGATGACGAAGACCTGGTGCTCATCGAGGAGGGTGTCGCAATTGCACCTTCGTCCTAAACAGGTGAACAGGCAGCGGATGTCACGGTGCAGTTGAAGGACATCCCCCAAAGGAAACATCAAGAAGCACCAATTCCGTTCGTCCGGTGCTTTCTGGACACCCCGAATCACCACGAAGAGGCTATAGCCTGTAGACACCTCAGAAGGTGTCGGTCCTGGAAGAAGCCACACATTGTTTGTTTAACCGGTCACCGGTCAAGGCCATTGTTTAGCTACGGGACGTGGTGCACAAGTTTGTTAGCCGACACGGAGGGGAGGGGCATACCAGTTCGGGACGCCAGCCAGTTCGTGCGCTTCGCGCGGCCGGGGTCGTTTGCTCCAAAAGTGACCAACGGGGTCACCTCTGAAAGCTCAGCTCCTTTGATCGCCTTCAGCTCCTTCAGCCGGGGGTTGGACCCGACGTCGGGTCCGTACTTGGAGTCCACGTCGCTCGTAGCTCGGAACATGGGTAGTTGATGGTAGTTGCAACCTATGTGCTGCACTTTTTGATAGGGTCATGTTCTATAAGGTATCTTTGGAGGATCCATACCGTACCTCCAGGTACTACTCATTCTCCGAGGTATTGAGACTGCCATGGTATTTTGGTAGTTATATTTGTTGTTCTCGTCAGTCACCGTGGGTGCTCAGGGTATGATGACAGCACTGCGTCAGTCACGAAGCCAAACACCTGCCCAGGTGGAGAAGACCGTGGCGAATGGAGATCGGCCCAGGTGGAACGTGGCCGACCCAGGGGCTGTTGTCTCTCCTTTTTATCTTTGCATCCTCGGTAAAGATGTGACATAAGTGCACGATGATGTGGTGGTTGCTGTTGTGGTTGTGCTTATGATTCTTGTTGTTGTCGACGCCGTCGTAGCTTTGCTGATGTCATTGGTGCTGGTGATGTTGGGGATGACCCACATGTGGTTGTGTTTCCCCATCCCCTCAAAGGTGGTTTTGACTAGTAGGTGCCCTGTGTTGGGCACGGCACGGCTTGCTTTGCGGGTTCGACATCAAGCTTCACGCAAAACCACAGTTTGTTTTATCCCGGATAGGTACATTTCAGGGAAATACTCCACTGGGAGGTTCTCCAATCTGAGGGTCCTGCAACAACCACAAAGACCTTTGGGTTGGAAGTATTTCATCCAACATTAGAGGTTCCAAACCACCACCCAACACTTGGAGGCAACCTCCACACTCCCATATGGTCCACTGGCCATGTTCTGGTCAACAAAAAGACACCTGATTGTCAGCACGCATCCCTTCAACCCCCCTACACGACGTGTGCCTTCGCCGCCCTCCTTGGCTTCCCGTCTTCGCGTCGCCAGCAGCGTGGAGATCGGCAAGTTGGGTGCGACGGCCATCATCGGCGACATCGCCCTGGCTGGGCGGTGAAGACGGGCGACCGCACAGGGCGGTGCGTGGAGGTCCGGATGACCCAAGGTCCGAAATCCAAGTGACCCGGGTCCCTTTTGGAGAGGAACAACAAGAAATTAATCGTATATACCCGCACAATCCAAGTATGGAATGTATTCTGGGCTGCATTGGGGTCACAAATGGGGTAGATTGGATGTAACTATTCCACACGTGGATGGTCTGGGATAGTTGGGCAGTCTCACAGTTTCGCCTATTCAATGTGTGATTTGGTGTGGACGCATCAGTTGTCCCAGCACCAGTATGTGTGAGAATATGTTGTTTTGCATATATGATTTTCCTTGAACATCTCTTAAAATGTGTTGTTTTGCACTAAATTTAATACATAGGGTGACTGACCCTACCCTGATGATAGATCTTTTGTTCGATCTTGTTCAGGGTGCCTGGCCAGATGTGAAGAGTCCAGGGTTCTCAACCACTGGTGGGGTAGTTGTTTAATTCTCTGATCATAGTTGAGGAACCAGCACCTGGTTGATGTTGCAGAAGGCATATGGAGAAAGAAAGGTACTCAACAAATCATCAGGGTGTTGATATTGCAGTGTTGCCATCTATGCTGGACAAAAACAACTGGCAGTAAGAGCAACTGTTGAAATGGCAAAGCTCGCCAGAATGTGGAGTGCTTTTTGGGAAGATAATGGGAACCAGAATTGGAAAGAACGCATGTTCAAGCTCAAACCATGTCATTGCACCAAGGGCTGTGGGTCAAAACCTAGAGCCACAACACCATATAGCTTGACCTCCCAGGTAGGTCAACCACGATTCAACCATGGTATCCTGGCCACAGCCAAAATGATTGCAGATGTTGCCTCGGCGGCCATAACGTGCCCGCTGACGAGCGCCTCCAAGGGTAAGGATCAGTGGCTGGTGGCAGATCATGCTTGGCCCCGTGCCTAGCATCATTTTTCGTCAAAGCGTTCGAAGTCCCCATGCCAATCGACGCCACGGAACCTACTTGTTCAAGCTTCCCCATGCCAACCTGGTCTCCGCCTCATTGCCCTGGCCTCCAGTCGTACCTTCGTTTCGAAGGTGTTTGGGGTGGGTGCCAGGTTCGGGTCTAGTCATACCTTCTGAGGAGGTACGACTGGAGGGTGTAGGGTTGATGTGTTTGAGACGAGCCAGTCCTGCGTTCCAATCCATGGGTCTGGCCGAAGCTGCTCCGGGCAGCGTGGGGCTCTATGGACCGCGAGGGAGCGAAGAGGAAGGAAGTACCTGTGACGGCGCCACAGAGCTCTCTTGCCCAACTCACTGCTCTTGGGCAGAGCAGCATTGGTGAAATACTTGGACAAGAAACTCTTTCTGGCTTGAAGACTCAAAAACACTTCTGCAGGAATTTACTGGGCAAAGCGTCCGAAAGATCAACTTCCAAGACTTCTTCAGTTCGAACACGCCGAGATGCTGACATCCATCTGTGTTTAGGGATCAACCGGAAGCGCAAGCTTTAGAGCAAATGACAGGAGGCAACAAGAAGAATGACTTGGAGCTTTGATTGAACCGAGGTAGAACAAGTAGAACCACCAAGTTCCAGCAAACGATACTTCGTTTAATGTTTAGTATTATTTAATCATGTTTATGTATTCTTGATAAGACGTATGATGACATATGCATTGTCCTGACATTTTTGGCCATGTAGACCACATCCAGTCATCCAGTCATCACCCGAGAAGAATTGGCTCCATCCCGCTTTGCCCCGCGGTCAGATTGGCGCTGCGCTGCCACGTCCCGCCAGTGTCCGGGCGGGGAACGTCACAGAGGCATGGTCGGCCTCATCTCAGTCAATCACCAGTGCAGTCAGAATTGGTTCAGGGTGGCACGGTTTGACATGCCGGCTTTGCTTCACGAATGGGGGAAACCAAGATGTTCCGAACCCAGACATGACGAATGGAACTGGAATAGATGCCTGACCCCGGCCTTCAACATCATCCTGGCCGTTTCGATTGGGCGTCAGATGGCAGTCCCAGACGGATCGTGGGACTAGGAAGTATGTCCATTTCGTTTTGGAGGCCATCGCTATTGGAAACAAACAAAAATGAACACAATTGAAGAAAGGTCTAATAGAACTTTGCTATTGGGTGGGTGACCAGTGGTCAAAGCTCAGCACCTTTTCAGCATCGACGTTGTACCATCGACGTTGTCCTCTCATTCTGGAGTCATGTCAGGTGTTTGGTGATGTTTCATGTTGGAGGGAACCTTTGAGAGGCCAGGTGTTTTTCGTGTTGGTGGTCAAAACCATTATATAATGTTTGTCAGGCGTTTACAGTGAACACATATATGTCAGTATTTCAATGATGTTTCAAGCCGCCATGCTTCACCTAAGAGCAAACATACAACCTTCGTTTGAGAGCATGGGATGACGGGGGTGACGCAGCAGATGTTTCTTTGTTTCAATGGAAGTCGATTGTGGTGTTTGACTATAGACTGTGTCCAATACATGTTGAGAGAGGGATGTACGTCCTATGTTGGGGTCAACAGAAAACACATCCTAGAATAATCTAAAATCCAAGACATGTCTTCTACAGAGCACCAGTATAGTTGCGTTCAATCGAGGCAAGAGTAAGGACTTGACTCTATTGACTGCATTTATTTTGGGTGGGGTCATTCTTCTCTTTATGTCCAACGGCTGTTGTTCAAAAGAATTACTGTAGTCCACGCTTGTTAGTTCGCGGAACTTCCAGGGTACCTTGAGGTACATTGGAACATGGGAAAGCAGGTATTGGTACGAACATGTCCTGAGGTACGAACAGGTCGACTCCATCGGCCGTTGTACAGCTGCCAGGCTGCCAAAGGCAGATGATGCTCAAGTATGCTCAAGTCGCGAAACAAGCACACATGGTTTTTATTTTGCACAGCACCTGCACAGTTCGTCCCGAATTCATTGGTCGAATACTGTAGCCCTTCCAAGACGACGTTTCCCGGGTTCGACTGCTAAAGATCAAATAATATCATGGAGACTCCCAAAGTTGAAGGAAGAGATCAGTCTACCCCTTGAGCCAGGGTGTGTCCGAGGTTCTGACCCATCGCCGATTGGGAGACCGCAGGTCTTGGAGCCTTTTTGGAACTTTTTGCCGTGTTAGTTCAGTCCACCAATTTAGGCCACACGGTCTCCACCATCCAAAAAGCCAGGAGCTCCCGACCATCCAAAACTTTGCATGAAGATAATTGAACTCTGAAAACGTGGCTTCCACGATGCTTCCAATCTTTGAGGGATCTCCCTTCATCCTCATCAACCCAGGGGGGTCTTCACCCAGCCGCTCCGCTCGGCTCCGCTTGGCTCCGCTCCCCGCGCCACGACCGCGCCCGGCCAGATTTTGCGCATCCCCGCGACCGCCCTGGCAGAGGTAGAGAGGGGGGGGTTCTTCGGCAGGGTCTTCGGTGGTCGGCCCGACGTGGCGTCAGTGGCTGCTTCCAGGGACAAGTTGTTTTTGACTTGGTTCATTTGGGTTTCCCATGGTGCAATCTGCAAGCATCACTACAGGTGGTGGCTTTAGATTTAGATATCTTTATATTATATATATATATATGTATCATGTATCATAGTATTTATGTATCATATGTTATATAATTACTATTGAACCTTTACTTGGGATGATTGAACCCACTGACTGACTCTTATGTTTGCACGTGGGTTGAAAGCACCGATCATCAAGAGTCGAAGACATATACTGAAATTGAAGGCTGACATTGAATTGAACCAGGCCTTTTGTAAAGTCCATGTTTCTAGAGTTTCCTCTAAAGCAACGGAATTCACTTCCACACAAATACTAGCACGGCAGTACAGCATTCTGTGACTGCGCCTTTTTGGAGGAGTAGAAGACCAATGCGTTCATTGATGGCTTCGGTGTTGGGATGGTGGCCTGGGCCGAATGAAGAAATTCTGAACCTCAGAGCCCTACTGATAGGGCTCACCCAGCAAGCTGACTCACGAAGATCCAGACTCACTGAACTGGCGATCCTGTGCGATTCTAGCCTCAAAATACCATGAACTGTCATCCCTGCGTTGAAGACACACGAGATTCCTATATTATGGTAAGTTCAAGTTGACTCACATTGAAGTGAACAAACACATGGTCATTTGGAAGACGACTTTCCTTTACGCAAAGGGGGTGTTCAGCTTCCATGTTAGTGAGTAATCCCTGCTTTGAAAACACTCAAATCAAGAGTTTAGTATTTCGAATCCCCTGTCCAGCAACCCAGCAAGCCGTACAGGCAAACAGCTGCATGAGGGGATCATTTTGTCATCATCCCTTCCTACCTGCATAACTATATATATATATATATACATGTGATGTCTATATGCTACCCCGTCAGCGTGTTGCCTTCAACCTTTTCAGAGCTTTGCTTTAAACAAATATGAACAGGTGGTTGGCTTTCACCTTCGCTTCACACCTCTCTAAACTCCCCATGGGACGGCGGGCTTCTGTTCGTTCCGTTTTCTTCAGATCACTGGTTCATGACATCTGGTGACCTCGGCACCATCAGGTGCTCAGGCGCTTCCCGGGCTGTTTGCAAGGCATCACCGCGCGGCTCAAGGAGGCAAGGCACCGCGTCGGACGTCCCGATGCGTGGGGCCGTCTTCCGCCCACACATGGGAACCGTTCTTGGGGGCGGTGTGAGAAGCGTCTTGCGGAGCGTGTGAGAAAGAACCATGGGGCGTGAGAGATCGGTATAAGATGCAGGTTCTGTGTGTTGGTGTTTTTCTTTTTTCAGTTGCCATAGTTGGGTTACTTTGACCGAAACAACCGAAAGCAACAATATGGGCGTGTTCTATCTTTGGACATCCACTGTCGAGATTCGTTTGATGTCGACATAGGGGCGCAGAAGTTGACCATTTGTTTGTTTTGTTTGGGAGTAGCGTTTCGTTCGTTCTGGACGTGTGCGACATCTCGTTTGGATTTGGATCTCGCTTCGACATGACATTTCTTGTGCTGCTAAATCACGTTCTTCGGTGTCCGGAGGATCTTTCGCGGTGGTGAGTCAAGGCCGCAAATATGTACAGTATTCCGCAATACTAAGGACGTATAGTTATACTAAGGATCGACATATTGACGTTTATTCCCTAGGGATCCAAGTACCTTCTCAGAAGGTACTTGGAGCCTCCAAACCTACATAACAGTGTCTCCAAACACCTTCGGAGAAGGTACTTGGATCCCTAGGGATTGTATATAACTATAACCTTTAGGATGCTCCACAATGCTAAGTTCAGCTGGCTCCTCCCACGTGGTCTCGAAGGGAGTCACACAAGACTTTGTCCTATAGCCTAGTAGTCCAATAGACTCTGCTAAGTTTCCCAAAGCTCTTTTGCATCACCAAAGAGATTGGGGAGGGGTCCAAACCATTTGTTGAGGGGATTCACTTTCGGTTTGTTTTGGCGTTGGTAGCAACTACTGTATATGTTGCTTAGTCTTTCATGCCTGATTCTAATTGCATGGATGGATCGACCGCACAGTGGCAGATCACCTTTGCCGCAGAAAAAAGGCTGGGAACTTCCTCATGATGAAGATGCCGGTAAGGTATGATGTCGGGCACACAGAGACGGCCACGAGACCAAAAGACAACGTGCTGTTTAAGACAAATGGTCATGTCCCATGTTCTAAGGTACTTTGGAGGGTCCAGGTATGCCTTAGTAACTTCCCAAACATACCCTGCCACCAAACGTTGGAGTTGCTTCGTCATTGCTGACTAACCCTTGCACGATTGGATTTGGTATTACCAAAGCAACCCAAACACAGCACACAGCCTTGAGGGTCTGTGCTAAACGCGCCCAGGCTGGGATCACACAGCACACCACAGTGGGACGATGCTGCGGCACACACTTAGATCAGATCCATGCTCGCAAGAGCTATATCAGTTGTGGCATTCCCGTGAGACTAGCCCTTTAGATGCATACGTAACACTTGACTTGCAGAACCGCAAAAGTGATCAGTCAGCGGAAGATAATCTTTCAACAGAGACTCACTAGCGCTTTACGAGAAGAGTAGAGTCAAAGTTTGGTCAACAGTTCAACTAGAAGGATTGAACGTTTGTGCAGGTACACGGAAGTGATCAGCTATGGCAAATTTAGGAGCTTCGTTGGGCAGAGCTTTGCAAGTCCTCTCTGCCCCCCTGCAGTACAGTACAATTTGTTCCTGTGCAGAAATTGTGGAATGAGGAAGTGGAGATTAGTTAGCGGTGACAGAGGTCCTTTGAGACAGGACTTGACACACACACACACAGTTAGCCGATACCGGCGCACAGCAAGTTCAAGCGGTTGATTAACACGGGTGCCGGGCCCTTGACTAACAAGCCTGATTACAGACCTAAAAAACCTCTAGAAAAAAAAGAGAAGCCTAGAAAGAGAAACGAAAGCAGGAGGGAAAGAAAACGGGGGGGGGGCCGGGTGTGGATCGACTGAACGAGCCTAAATAGCAACCTAACAAGCCTCAAGAAAAGACCTAACAAACGACAAAATCAAGGAGAGGAAGGGTGTGTGTGTGTGTAACCTTTGGAGTCACAAGGTTCCTGTTGGATTGTCTGTTTTGCTTACTGGTTAAGCAGGGGAGTGTTTTGGGGTTGGACGTTTTGTGCAGAGGGATCTCCAGTTGTGGCCTCTGTCTGTCAACGAAGCTCCACTCTCGATGATCATGAAAACGTGGGCGCATATTAAGACGCAGCTGGTCGCCACCTTTTCGATTTTAATTCTGCAGATGTGCACGGACCGTCGTCAGCTTGTCGCCGCGTTTCGGATTTGTGTATTGCTAATTTGGAACCTTTGGAGTCTTTGGAAGCGCTTGAAACTTTGAGGGCTTTTGTAACTCACCTGAACTCTTAGGTTTTTCACTTAGGTGTTTCGCGTGTGGCAAACCGCAACCAAATCAGTACGCATTTCTATAAGTGTGTGTGGGGGGTGTTGGGTGAGAGGCACGTAGCCAGACACCCGATAAGCCGCATCCGGCGCACTCTTTCTTGACAGAAAACTTGACCTCTATGGATGCATGCACATTCCCCGATGCCACGGACTCAGGTGGTGAACTCCCTCGAAGTCTTCGCGGAGACAGAGGTTAGCTTCAAGAAAGAGGCACAGATTCGGAAGACATGAGTTGCATTGCCTATTGACCCAAGTCTCTCATAGATCCGCCGTGGTCACCGCGTTTTTGTGCGACCAAGTCACCTTGGTGGTGTCTGCAAGGGTTACAAAGGTCTTCTTGCGCGTGCGTGATTTGGTCCCACGCATCAGCTCTTCATAGCCCCACTGGCCCACGCGCGGACAACCTCCTCATTGTATGTGTATTTTTTTTTTTTCAACCGCCTTTTGTGACGGGAAGCCTAACGCCGAGCCATGGTCGCTGTTTGGTCTTCTGACCAGAGCACATTCAGTTTATTGTTGTGTTGTGATTCCATTTCATGGATGTGTATTGTTTGTTTTTGATAATGCATCCCCATTTTACAATCCAATTGGGGTGGTTTGAGTCATGAAGAGTCTACATTACGGTGTTCAAAACCATTGGCTACATGCAGCTGAAGCAACACACACACTACTATTAGCCTGCTGCCTTTTGAGATGCAATTACCAGTTTTATCAACGTATCGCAGCCCTTGAGAAAGTACAGCGCTGGCCACAGCAGCCTGCGTGCTCAGTGGAAGGACATTGATAGTGGACCAGGTAAAAATTACACCTTGGAAGAGACCCACAATGAAATCCTGAAAAAGGAACATAAAACAAAAACGATGTTCCTCTACAAGCCAGTGGTTTTGAGGTTCCATTTGGGTCTCTTCGTGTTAAGCATCATTCAGACATCCAAATCAGTCGTTGCTTCCAATGTGCTTTCAAAATCGCTGAGAAACTCTGAGCTTTGCAATTCTGGCTTGAGGACGCGTACCTAGCTTCAATTGTTTGACGTCAATTAAATCTAAACGTTGATCTACTTGTACCCTCTCCCACACAGCAATTTGTCCAAACAAGTCGAAGTTGGTATGTGGATGCGGCTCAACTAGGCTTTCATTCTCCTCCACGACTTGAAAATCAGTCACCTTGGTCGCATCGCACAGTGCTGCGCATTGCTACACATTATGTTACATGTGGATGAAGGTTGGTACATCTGGAATATGCTGACCATCCCATGCTTGGGCTTGTCTTGGTCTACTTTGGAAAGCTTACTTGTGCCAAATCAGCTGCAGGGGGAGGGCCTTGTTTGGCAACAGTTGATGGCAAAGCCCTGTGAGGACATGTCTTCCACGCCGCCCCTTGTTTCCCCTTGCTGAACCTCTGCCCCCTTCGGTTCCACTGTGCGGCCTTTTATGGGGCTGAAAATCACCCACGGCGGCCCCACGCGTCTTTGCCGCGCACCGAGTGGTTGCAGGTGGCGGCGCACGGGCGGCGATACGTGTGCACCATTGGCGAGGTGGTGGCCGATGGCATCCAGCCGCTTGACGCGCTGGCCGACGGTCGGCGGGTGGAAAGGAGTGGAGTGCGTGGTGGCCGATTTGGTACGTTTGTTTTCTACTGTGCAGTACCGGAAGTCACGTAGATGTCCAGGACATGCGGGAATTTGCTTGGCAAACAAGAATCACACAGAAGCGACCAGCCATTTCGGGCGGTTTTTGGATGGAAAATACATGCGAATACATACCTGGACCCTCCAAGGGGTGTCCAATGGACTACCCCACAGTACCTATAGGCTTCCATTGGGCACCCCTTGGAGGGTCCTGGTATGAACCACACTTCTGAAGGCGCCGTATGTCCAGCAGACCACCAGTGGGGCATGTCCGACAGACATCGCTTTCCACAGAATCAACGCCACGACGACGAATCAACGCAACCGGGGCCCGTGCTTCGATACAACCGAAGAAGGGCTGTCTTGAAGCGAGGCCTTCAGATGAGTGCATCTATGTGATGGAATATGGCGTTTGTAGTTGGCACCTCAGTTTGGACTGACAAGGCGCTTCAATTCACAGCCACTGGTGTAAAACGTGTTCTGTTTTCTACAGTCAGGGGAGCACGCAACGGGCAAATGCCCAGCATAGTTTAAGTTTAGATCACAGATGATGACGACATGGACCACATATAACCTTATAACTACATCTCACGGATAGGACCCCGGATTGGTGGTATAGTTTCATTATTGAGATGATTCATCAGAATTATGATCAAAATTCTGGACGATTGGTCCCATGCCATGCATCATACCTAACGTAACTCTTTCATGAATCAGACTTGCTTCAGCCACTTGAGTTTGTGTATGGCCACCTCCGACTGGTTTTCGGTCGTGAAGTCACCTCCCCAGTTAATTTGTGTCTGTTCTTTTTCCGAATCTTATTGATAAACGATAGTTATATAAGGACCATAGGAAAATGTATACGATTACGAGTTGTGTTTGTTGAATATTCCTGTTCTTATAGGACCTTAGGAAAAGTATGGAACAGTGATGAAGTGTATCAGATCATAATATGGGGGGTGTGCCCAGAACATCCACTCACTTAGGGACTAAAAACCAACCCCGGCGAACGTGACTCCTGGTATAGGATCCTCTCCTTTGCCCTCTCCTCAAAGCTCTTTCTTTTTGGCCTTCCCGACGGACCCGGCCCCGTTGGCTCCACCGGCGCGACTGCCACAGTCCGCGCAGTAGACACCGAGAAACCCGCGTGAGGCCTTCAAAATGAGATCCGTCAAGAGCTGGAAGAGGTTTGGCACTCCTTTTGGCTACGGTCTTTTGGGATGGCCTTTTCTATTTTGATGTGTTTTGTGTGTTTTTGTTGTTGTGTTTTAATGTTGTGTTCTTTGTTGTGTGTGTTGTTTGTGTGTGTTTTTTTTTTTTAATTTTATGTTTTTTTTTTTTTTTTTTCGGCGGTTTGTTTGTTGAGGTTCCCCCTTAGTTCTGGGCGGTTTGGCAGTGGACGCGCTTTTGCATGAACCGTGAAGATCGGTATATAACATCGGGTTCACGGTCGTATAGGATTGGACCCAGAGCAGGCAATGCGGCAATGCTTCCTTAATGTCGACTTTTGATGAATCATTCTCCCCATTTGGAGTGGTAAACCCTTCATATTGAGGGGAATATGACGTCATCAAGAGTCGACATGAGGCCACATGTCCTGACGCTCTGACTGAGCACATCGTTCGGCAAAGGTTTGGAGCACTAATTAGATAGAGCCCAACCAAAATGCAAAACGAAAACGAACGGATTATTTACTGACATAACATAAACGAGCGAAGAACATCACTGGCCGTACACCCTGATTCAGCACATATCGTGCATCCACAACGGACGTTACTATCCCAGCCCCGCCCCGCCCACCCCCAGAACCCATTCTTATCACACAAAAGATCAATGACATGCCTGAAAAAGATCAAAAACACTACGGCCCGTTATATGGGCGGCCTTCCAACTACGGCTGTTGGACAGAAAAAACACGATGCGCCTGACTTCACCTGACTTGACAGCTAGTTAGCTAGTACACCCCATGCCCATCCATGCCCCATAGAACCTTTGCTTAAGGAGGTCCAGACACCCCAACCTGAAGACACCCCAACGTCTCGGGTGGGTGGTTTGTTCCCGTCGCAGATGCCTTTCGAAGTCCGGTCGTTGGGCTTCGGGAACACGCTGCAGGTCTCCACCGGTTCGGTCTTCGCGGTGAACGACACGGTGGCCACGAAGCCCCAGACCGTGCGCGACGCGCGTGGAACGACCGTTTTCATCCGGGGCGTCCTCAAGGGGGGCTTAGGACAGGTGGAACGGTGGAAGCATCCTGAAGGGCCGGGTCTCCATTTACTCATTCAGAACTCATCTCCAGAGTTCTCAGAGCCTGACATGGACGCGCCAACTATAGGGCCGTTTCATGTTGAGTAACTTCTATATATATTATACTAGAGTGATTGGGGGGCTTGACACGTTCGACTGGTCGCGTTGATGCCATGTTGATGCCGTGATCCAAAAACCACCATCTGTGGAACGGTGCAGTCCTTTGAACTTGCAGACCGTTGGGTACCGAGCGCCGGTTTCACAAGCCGTGTTCGAAGACTAGCCGATGTGAAACCTCATGTGTCCAGCTCCTGACACCCAGTTGGTCCCGTTTTAACACGTCTGTTCCCGTGCTTATATCGTCATCCACGTTCTTTTCCAGTAATCGCAAGAGGCGAGCGGCTATCTTCCCAGCCAACAGTTCTGCTTGATTTACCAACTGTGGTGAGGTTGATGTACAGCGTACCTGGACCCTCCAATGGATGGTCCTGGTATGGTTATGTGTTTGGGGTTTCAGTCTTTTAGCTAGTCTACTTTCCATGTCCCACACAGTATGGCATATTGCCTACATTTGGGTGGTTTCAGGGGTCAATGTAGGCATATATTCCATACATGGGGTGTTTGGGTGTTTGATTGTAAAGGGTTAGAAGTGCCTTGGTTCCTTAAGGGTTGCAGAATTTCCCTCCACATCTCTGAGAAGATCGTTTACAGCTGGTGGACATGGTGGTGAACATGGATATGTACCCTCAGGTGACCAAACATCATGACTGGACTGAACACAGGTTCCTGTTATAGATTCAGAAACAAGTTGTTGTATATACTGTAGATGTATGCTATAGTAGCTGGTGTTGATTCTCTCCAACGGATCACACCAGAAATTTCAAGTTGCCTTCACTGGGAAGAGCAGCAACATGTTCCGGAACCCTAAAAAAGGTGCCGCTTCCTACGGGGTGCTCCACGGAACCTCAACATGGGGTCTAGAAAGACGCGTTGAAACATAATCTTCCACCGCCCAAAGTCGGTCTTTTTGGTACCCCTCGGTCGCATCACGCGGAGTCGAGCCGCGCGGAGCCGCGGGTGGTCTGCGCTCAGTTTGGCATCGCCCGAACGCCTGGGACCATCGCGCAGGCGGAGGGAGGAAGGGAAGGGAGTGGAGCTTTCCAGGTGCGTGTAAGGGTTTTGTAAGGCGACCTTTTGGATGCAGTCCAAACATGAAAGAATTTTGACTCGTCCGATTTCGATCCAGGTACCCAGACACGACCTCTGGGACTGCTATATTTGGTACTGGTCATGGATGGGTAGGAGCATGTGTTGGTGGGAGCATGTGTTTTGGGATGTCGGATGCATGTGGACAGCTTCAACAGCGAGCGGCCTTCGTTGGCGTTTGGCTTCAGTTTTGGCCAGAGGGTCAAAGTCAGGACGAGGACGCGTGGACATGGCGGACAGGCGAGCGGGATGGTGTGTGTGTGTGTGTATGTGTGTTGGTGTGTTTTTGCTTGTGATGTGTCTTGGTGCAACTGAAGCCAGAATTCTCCATGAGTTTTTTTTTTGACTATCCACTGGGCGATAATGATGCCAATGGATGGCAGTCCTTTTGACAGGCAAGCTTCTGTTTGTAGAAATGCTCACATGCACATACTGCCACTATAATATATTTAAAAAAATATATATATTAATATATTATTCAAATAAAATCAAAAAATAGATGCGTGTATACACTATCGGAAATGTTAAAAACTGCTGACTTTGCAGCATTTGTTGTTCTGTTCCCAATGCTTTCCGTGCAGTGCTTTTGTTATCTTTTGTTTCAACCAAACAAAAGGGGTCCCATTGTGGAACATATATCATCTACCTATTGAGTCTTTGCAGTAGAAACGGGACTATGACCCGAAACATATAGTATTGCTGTATCCGCGTTCCAAGGTCTTCGGAAAACCATTTAAGACTCCTGGCCTGGCTTTTGTGAATGAAAAGAAGACTTCTCGCAGTGCCAGGAATGCCTTGCGGGCTGAGAGCCCTGACACTCGCTTGAGCTTGTCACCACGCTTTCTGGCACTTCTGACGGAAGGACGACAAACATCACACCCAGACACTGCATGGGACTGGCAGATTTACCTATATTCACCGCTTTTCAACCACCCCAATGTATGCCATGTCAATATGCCAGTTCAAAACAGATCATGTCTTGCCTCGTGCCTACCCTCCCGACGTGCCTACCACGTGACCGACGTGACCTCCGCGCCGCTCCGGCGCCGCTTCTCCGGCGGCTGTGCAGGAGAGACGGGCGAAGGTTTGCTGCAACGAGCCTTTAAGGAGGCGCAGCGGCGCGCCTACAAGAGCTGGGAAGCAAAGCCCTGGACGCCGCTCAGTTACCAACGAAGTCGATCGAAGTCACCCACCTGTTGGTCCTTTTTGACGTCCAAAGCACCAAATTCCAGAGGCTATTCTTCATGTACGTTGTGTGTGTGTTTTTGGAGAATCCGAATGACCATATATAGATCGAGTTGAAGGGTCTTCTTGAAGCTCATATTTATCCACAAAAAAACTTGGATTGGACTCAGTTGGACAGGGTTCTTGGTCAATATTTTGGTTGGCGTACTGAAAAAGAACCGTGACTAGGTTCCAGAGATGCCGTTGCCCTCTGGAAAACAAATAACACATGTCCAGGACCGCTGCAAAAGAACGGCTTTGTTCCATGTTCATGATTGTTGGAGTCTAACCCCATATAGGCTCTTGATAAATTGCCACCCCATTCGGATTGCAAAACCTCTTAAGATATATAAGTCCCATTAAGTCACAGTTTTGCGCGACGCTTCAAGGTCATCAGAGGAGAACTGGTTAGCGGCGGAGCGGAGTTTCGTTCGCGCAACCTCAGGCACCGTGAAACGGTCAAACAGATGGGCAAAAAGATGTTCAACAGACCCTAGGGATCCAATCACCTTCTCAGAAGGTACTTGGACCCTCCATACCTACATAGCAGTGTCTCCAATCACCTTCTGAGAAGGTACTTGGATCCCTAGGGAGAGTCATTTGGACAGGCCCAACTAGAAAAAACGATGGAATTAGATTCTGTTCGTACGAATCCTTAGTTATATTTGGGGGCAACATGTGGCAATCTGCGCGCGGTTTTCAGATTGCCTTGGTACCATGTTTCTCCTCACGATTTCTTGGCGTCTCCCCAATTTCGCGAAGAATTGAAAGAAAGATGAAAGACATGCACGCATTCTGCAGGTGCCCACGGTGAAGAAGAGACATCCTCGACACAGCAAGTGAGTGAGAAAACCTCCAGTGGTGAGGTCATGGCCGATGGAAAACACCCTCCCGACGCGCAGAAAGCCGACGCAGACGCTTGCGACGTTCCTCCCGATCTTCGCACCGGCAAAGCTTCGGTACGAAAGGAGGCTGAAGCTCCGGATTCCGCGGCCAAAACAGATTTGGACTCCAAGTTGGGAACCCAGCTGACTTGGGCCGAGGCAGGCAGTGAATGCGCAGCTCTCTCTCCAAAAGATGTACAATTGGATCCCAAGACCTGGGACGAACTCTCGCCCCACCTCTCAGAAGTCTCCACGGTGTCGCCCTCCGGAACCGTTGGACGTCCGGAGATGTCGCCGCCGAAGTTGCCCAAGTTGCCCCTGTCGAAGCTGGTGCGCAGCGCGCGCAGCGCCCGCAGCGCTGGCACGCAAAGTGACCGAAGTGATCGCAGTGACCGCGTGCTGTGGCTGGGGACCATCATGGAACTGCCGGCTTGGCCGGCTCCTCCACCAGAACATCCATTGATTACACCAAGAACTGGGGCCTCTTACCGTGCTCTTGAAGCAATGCGACAGAGGGTACCTCGGCTTGAAGCAATGCTGACCCGTACCATGACCCGTTCCTTTCGTTGTGAGACATGGTGAGACAGCTTGAGAACATGGTGAGACCGGTGGGTATACGGATGGGTCCTTTCAAGTTGGGGGTTTGATGGCAGGTTAGATGGAAAGTGGGTCAGACCCACAGTGGTTCACTCAAAAGCATTACAAGCATTGAAAAACCAATAGAAAGCCAGGCCCCTAATTGATCTTACTTGTATCTCAGATCTCAAATCTTTGGGTGTCTTTTGTCCCGTGTCATCAAAACTGTGCTCCGAGGACGTCTTTTCAATGTGCACACCCCGACCAGCAGGCCTGTTGTGTTCGATGTTTCGTTGTCCTTTGGAAAGTCAAGGAAGAGGACTTCCTCCGGAAGAGCAGGACTTCCTGAAGAGCGCTGGTTTCAAGCACTCTGAAAAAAAAAAGACAAGGGTTCCCAGGTGGTGCGTTCGTATCCTGAATTTTTGTTCATGGAACATGGTGTCGCGTTGTCCCGGGACCTCTTGGGATGCAAGTACAGATAAGACGCCGGGTAACTTTCGGCATTGGTTCTCTCTTCTTGACCTCCAAGTTGCCAGGTGGATATGTTCCAAGTCCAATTCAATCACGCAACTTGGAACGTATTAGTAACAAGTGCATCGCTACGAGTAACAAGTGCATTACCAGTAGTTACTATATGCTACTATATAGTTGCAAGAAGCTACTAGTCTATCGAAGCTATTTGTTACTACAGTATATTGCTGAACCAATTGGCATAGCTCAGCAGCATCTGGCTGCCTGGCGCAGCAACGCCATGTATGCAGTGTTGCACCGCACCTGTCCGCCCTTCCAGGGGCTTTTTGACGGCATGAGAGTCCAAGATGTTTGGACAAATAGAACAGGCATTGACATGGCCAAACCAACGACAACAACCCAGGAAGCCTAAGTGGCGAATCCAGCGAGGGCAGCTTCCTGGATGTTTACGATAACTGGGACCGAATTGGATCGCAGCTGGGGAGCAATATGGCAGCGAGAGCGGCGTGAGGGCACTCTAAAGAATGTGTTTGATTACAACACCTAACAGTGAACCTAGCAGGAATGGCCTCCAACACCGATGGCCTGCAACCAAATAGGAATGCAAACATATGTAAGTAGTTGGAATGAAGGGATTTGGATTCAGTTGGAATGGAATGCATTCTAGATTTCCTTCTTTACCTTGAATTCACAGTTCTCACGCATGTTTCAGTGCTTGAATGACCGAAAGGATGATCAAGCAGTTGTTCCCAAGGATTGAAACTGCTGCCTCCCAGCCTGATGAGGCCAATCCTTGCTTTCTCGCGTTCTTCGAAGGCGTCGTGCCGAGCGTCTCGCGCCCTCATCAGCCGGTGCGTCGCGCTGGATCGTCGGTGCCCCAACTTTCAGGTGGTGATGACCGTGCGCAGTGAGAAGACCTCGGCCACTGGGCGTTTGTTTTAAGGATGAAAGGATTTGGATGTTGAGGATCATGAGGTTTTGGAGCAGAACATGTTTTGGTGCTTCACATTCAGTGATACCCAAACAGAACCATTTTCAATACAGTGCTTATTATCGTTCAGTACCTTTCCTATCTATACCTTACAACTGCAAGAAGCCTAACCTCTCATTCAACTTTCATGGCGGGTTGCGCAGCAACGACAACCTCTCAGGACCGCAGCAACTTCAGCCTGTACGGGCTCTATGGCAATGGGCAAGATGCAGAAGTCCGCGTGCTTCGCAAGGCCGGTTGCGGTTGAACGAACAAAGAGGATGAAGCCTGTCCGTCTTAACCAGGGGGTTGGTGAAAGGGAACATCTACAGGAAACGGGAAACCAGGTGTCTTGACGCCAAAAACATCCAACAACTAGGGTTTTCCGGAAGATGTTCCCTTAAACCAATTCTTGGAATAAGAAGCACGGGCACATGTTATGGCATTTCACTTGCTTTTTGCTCCGTGGTGATGTCTGTTTTCCCGTTGGGTGAATCGGCAGCAATGGGTTTCCTACATTTTCCCGGTTTGGGAAGCAAATCCCATACGTTCATGCAAGTGGGAGTGAAAGTCAAAATGTTCAAGCATGAACTCAGTAATGAACTCAGTAGTCATCAGCTATAGAGTTTACCACATGTTTGCTGCCTGAGGTCATTAGTGATCTGGAGATACGGCTGCAGGAGAAGTGCGATGACTGCCCAAAGTGACTCTCAATTGGGGGTGTCCCCAGCTCACCGAGTCAGTAGAATTCAGTAGACAGGTCACAAGACATGATGAGACATCACCAGCTTCCAAAACCACTTTAACCTTATTCTTCCTCAGAAAGCATCCGAAGCTTTTTTGTCCTCGGTCTACGAGGAGCAAGAGCGAGAGCTTCAGGCTTTGCGCAAGAAGGAGGTGCACATGCCGTGAGAACCGACCTGCGCAAACGGGTGCGTGTGTCATTCCAAACTCCTTCAGCACCTGGGTGACGTCATCCGCTTCACGTCGGTTTAAAACGCATTGAAACACCATTTAAAAATATGGCCACCATACTAGCAGTTCCAAAGGATGTGTGTTTAAAGTTTAAAGTAATTTGTTTAGTCCCATCCACGGGCCGTGGATGTGATGTCGGGCACCCTGACGGCACCCTGGCCTCCTTCCTCCGTTCGGAACCGGCACCCGACTCTATGGAACTGCTACATCCAGGGAGGGTCCCAGTCTGTAATCACTCAAGATCTCAGTCTATGTCACGAACTGAAGAACCATGGGATACCCGCAATTGTGTTTTATGTATTGTTGGTTTCTGTTTGTTTCAATTAATGGTTTGTGTTTTTGTGGAAATGTGTTTTTGTTCTGTCTCAGCTTGAAAACATGTTTTCCATCAGTCCAGATGGAGCTGTCACACCTTGGAAGGTTCGGAACGTAGACCACAACTTCTGCCAGCCGGAGCGGGGGGGGTGGGTTAGCTCAAATACAATGGCGCCAAATATGATGAAATCACCCAACTCAGTGTGGCTGATGACTTCTTTCCTGAGGTCATGTCTGGTGTTGTGCGTGTTTCTTCTCTCTGGGCCGCCCAGACCTAGGCACAGTGAGTGCATGCAGAAAACGCGCCGCTTCGGATCCGATCCACGGAGAATCCGCGATGGGTGACAGATCGGATGGGTTGTGATGGGGAACTGTGAATGGGTTGAGTGACCGTACATAGGACCGTAAACTGGGGTACCTATAGGATAGGCTAGTTCGGGTCCTTCAACCTCTGTTGGAAGGCTGTGAATGGGTCAACATATGTAGGGTCAACAGTTGTCGACAGCCGAATCTGAGTCAAAAGACCCCCCCTTGAGTCTAGCCTTCGCCCAGATCCGGACAGCTAACAAGAAGCCTCCCATGTGTTATCCCATAATTACTGGTAGATCGATCTGTATTTTCTGGGGGAGTTGATCAGTGAGTTCTTCTCATCGCCGATCGCCTTGTCGGGGCAAGTCCTGACGAGAAAACTCGATTTATAGCATGAATCCTGGGATCTATTGCAATCCCTGCCAGTTTGCTGCCAGTTTGCTTATGGCAGTTGTTTCAAGTTGGTTTGAGGTGATTTGGTAGTGCTTTCTGTGGGTTCTCCTAAAGCTAGTTGTTGTATCAGGGGTCACTGAAGCATATTTATATGTGTTAACAACTCACAGACACCAAAATAGCTGCTTTGGTTGCGCCTGGACTTCCCTTGGGGGACACCCCGAAGCTTATCTCAAGACATTTTGGTGCGACACCAAGTCGTCAGCACCCTCGTGTTTCCTAGCTGTTTGGTCCCGCCAAAGGTGGGTGTCCCATCTCATGTAGCTTGGCATGAGGAACGCAATAGCTTTTGGCATGATTCAGGATGACCCAAATCGATAGAATGTGAAGCATTGCGCGCTATGCTGAAGCTCTTTCTTTTAATTTACGAATGTCTCCGCAGTCACTTGGATTTTCGACTTTTAGTGCGTCTGTGTTTGGAAAAAGAGAACTCGCAGCCACGCGGAAGCGGAGCTTTGGCTTTGGCCGGGCATTATAGCTTGTTCATCGCTTGGGCATCCTTTCTATCGGCGTTCATGTGTTTTTGTTTTTGTTTTTTGCTGCTTGTCCTATATCGCTATCCTGAAAAAAGACACAAATCGTTGCTCCTTCGTTGCGGCAGGTGGTGAGCCCCTTTGCCGCTATCATGGAGATTCGCCAGAAGGACTGGATCCGAGGCAATGGCAATGCCCCCTATTTTCTCCGCTTCGATTAGCGGCCATTTGGGCGGTCTTCGCCGTTTTAACCGCGACGTGTGGGAACATCCATTGAGTTTCATGAAGTTGCCGTGGCTTTTACTTTGGGAATCCGATTTTTGTTCAAGAAGATGTCACAGTCGCACCTTCAAACAGTGGGCCGAGTCTGGGGGAGTCCGCAAGTGTGGGGTTCATTGGCGTCCCGCCGCGACGTGTGTTTTCGTCCGAATTCGTCCGAAGGAGATTGGTATGTGCATCCTTCATGTCGCCATATCCTTCAATCCAAACCCATAACCATGCCAAGGTAGATTATATGCGACATATGCCATACATGGAGTGTTTGAGTATGTTAACAAGTAAACAAGATACATCAAAACATGTTTACATGTCAACATTGTTTAAACATGCACCTACCAGCACCCTCCAGGAGGTCCCCTTTGGCTTCTGCGGACCGTGGCAGGTGACCGTCGCCAGGCCACCTACACAGCATCCATGATGGTTGCGTGCTGGAATTGCCCACGCCACGCTGAAGATCGGCTTGGTATGCGAGAGGAAACAAGACCCAGACACTCCATGTATGCCATATATGCCTACATTGACCCCCAAAACCACCCCAATGTAGGCATATATAGCATACATGGAGTGTCTGGGACATGAAACAAATACTATGCACGTCAAGGCACCCTTCCACCACAGGTCACCTGCCACTTAGACTCAGACCACTTCCTCCGCCATGAACCAATTTTCGACCGGTCGAAGACCTCGCGGACCGCAGGACCTCGCCGACGCCTTGCAACGCCATTATGACCAGAGGACCCCGGTCGCGACGGCCGCTTTCGAGAGCTCCGGGCGCCGGTGGTGTTGGCGAAGCTTTACGGCTCCGGTGCCCAAAAAGGTGCTCCAGAGGCTCCGTGAGTTCACAGCCCGACTGGGTCCCGAACCAAAAGCATAGGGTTTGGTGAGAAGGTCCAGACCCCTCCATACGATTCGGGTCCGACCCCTGCATAGGATTCGGGTCCCGGGTCGCGTCTGGGTCAGCTTGTGAGTCATATTTCGCCAAGTGCTCCATGTATGCCTGGCAGATTTACGACAACTACCGATCAATTGGAGTGGTTTGCCATGTTGAGCGATGGGGAAAACCACGTGGTGCAGCGGAGCGAAGGGAGGAGCTGAGGACCGGCAACCTGAGTGGTGAGGAATTTTGGATTCGGTAGAAGCCAAGCCAAGTCGGAGGAAAGACAGTGAGAGGAGAGGAGTGTTGCCCCTTCCAAAGGGATCTACTGTATCACGTTCATGGGTGTGGGGATCCCAAAAATGGGCGGTTCATTCAAGCATCCAGTTGCTTCAAACTGGGAAGATGGGGCCTTGCTCATCTACCCCAATCCAGCAGTATTTAACATGTTCAGGGTCAAACGTTCTGGGTCTAGAGCCGGAAGGTTTGCAGCATCCTGCAGCTGCATTGCTGCAAACGGGGTATTGATCTTTTTCCGGCTAGCCATTGCCCACATCATCTTACGTAATAAGGAATAAGTATTTGCTTACATACCAAATGGCTTATGGTTCGTGCAAAGCAAGCGTGGACATGCTGCCAAAGGTGGAAGCAGGTCTTTGTGTTTTTTCTTGAGTAACAGGCCACTTTGAAGGCGCTGAGGGATTGGTCATTTGAGAATCATGTTCAACATCATTGCCTTCTATATTACGTGTTTACTTTTACCTTCAGCCAATTTTTTAATTATTGATGATATAAACAAAAAGATGTGGCTCCTCTTCACAGCAGACCAGATAGCTCCTTTTTGCCGCCCAGGAGGCCACCTCCCTTTTCCGCGGAAATCTTGCTGGGAGCTCAGCCAAGGGTTTCATCGCATGATGCGAAGCTGTCTTATGAAAGACCTATTTCTTCAGGGAGCTATGCGCACACTCCTGGCACCAATCAGGTGATTAGTACTATAATGCATAATGTGCGGAACTTGGCCACTGTCATGAGTCAATGACTCGACATCATGCTGGGACAGTAGACAAACTGTACTGTAACATGAAAGCGGACGGCCAATCATTTGAAAGGACAAGGTCATTCTCCTGTAGAGGTGATGTTGCATGATGTTTGTTGGACAGCAGGCACGAGGGTTTGCAAGAAGTATTATATGGTTACTGTATATGAATCGTGCAAATTTGGGAATTGGCCAATTCACTTCTAAGGAGAACTAGGAGGCAACTCAGGACAATGGATCCAAAATTAATCCTCCATCGTGATCCGACATCTGTGAATGTACATCCTTTCCGCCCTGACGGACAAGATCAAATCAGAATAATCAACGACTGTTGACATATGTGTTACATTAACTCAACATGTTGGGTCCAGGGCATATGTGAAACCAGGCACGTTTTTTTGAACAAATTGTGTGTGTGGATCGTTCCATTGCTAGCTAAATACTTGCTAATTACATGGGTACTTTTCAGTATTGAAATCAGCAGATGACATGGGTCTGGAGGATAGGTGTAAGTGGTCAGAAACAGCTGACATTTGTTTAGCAGCTCAAAACTATGTCATTTTCCTGCCGTCCTGCCCACTCTCCAGCACTGGCACCAGTTTTCTAATCTTTTCTCCTGGACCTATCTGGATGGTATTGTACAAGTCCCATCAACAACTACTTTGCAGTATTATGCATTGTGGTGTACAGTATCATATACTGATACTTTGACAAAGAAAGTTTGATTCGGTAAATGTTCAAGACGACCTTCACTTGACACACCTCATGGTGGCTCACTAGGTTCGGGTTGAACGGGCGTGGTGATTGTTTATAAAATCCCCATGACCCTGGCACATGGTCACATGGTATAACCATGTATAACCTATAGTTTTTGGCTGATCAGGTGTTTTGAGGTGATTTAAAAAAAAAAGAACGATCTGGGTTGCCTCCCCAGGCATGGCGAAGATGCTTATTTCTTTCCAGGTTCCTGGACAGCAAATCCGTTTTGGCTTGACGCACCTGACAATGGTGAAGACGAACGCACGGCCATGGCGAGGACGCCATCGGGAGAAACACGGAGACTTGGCTCCGAGGGAAGACCCAGCTTTTCGTACCCCAGGCCGCAAGCAAGCTCGTTGCAACACTTGGCCGGGCTCCCAATCTGGTTGGAGCTACAGCTGTTCGGGCTAAGGCCGCAGGTGTTCAGCAAGGATTGGCGTGCGCTGAATCCTTCACAGAAAAGTCATCCTCCAACACCTTCAAGGTGACCGAACTCGACATCCTGGCAGACCCGGTCACTTGAAGACCCAAAAACGATCGCGAAGTTGGAGAAGTGTTTTTTCCTAGATGTGAAAGCTGTGCGTTTTCTGTGGGAGTGGACCTTCTTTCTGGTTGGTGAATGATCATTTGTTTGTTTCGTCTATTTGCAGAAGCTAATTGTACATGTGCCCTGTAGCAGATGAATGAGACAATACTCAATGGCTCGGTCACCCGTTCGAGCAGCGTTCGAGCAGCTACCGCCTGAGAAAGCACGGGTGAGCTACCGCTTTGCATCAGGACTTTTCTCCTTCATGATGAATTTCTCCTTTGCAGATTCAGATGGAACTCCCGAAACCACTGGATTGTAGGGGGGTCTTCATGGGCCAATTCTCAGGGTCTGGATCGGAACAAGGGGCTAGGGGCCCCTAGCCCCTTGAAACAGCCGTGACACGTACACACTGAGGTTGCCATGACAGACATTTTCAGCAAGGTTTCCATGAACTTTGTACAGGATCCGATCCTGTGAGCCCCCGCGTGACACGGCCTCGGGCTGGAGAGTCAGTGAGAGAAGTTTGGATCAATTGGGGACCTGAAAGTGCTACCATCCGAGGTCCTATTGATACTTGGACTCATGATGTGGGCCGTCTCATTTGGGCATGCACATGGCCCCGGCTGACAGGTTGTCCTTGATAAAATACATGGATCCGATTTATGTTCTCCACAATTTGAGGCAAGATCTTGCAACCTTTAGTATTGTTCATTGGCTTTGTGAAAGCTGAAAGGGCTGTGTGTGTGTGCACACAGATCTCACTTGCCTTGAATTGCAGCTTGTTTCATATTACGTTTGATGGCTGCAACCAACTTGAAAATTGCTATTGACTGCATATGACTGCATGCTGGGCCTAAGATTGGCATATGATAAATATCTAAGTAATATAGATTTATGTGTACATGTATAATCTATGCATAAGTTCAAACAGATCCCCTTAGTCCCCTTACAACTGCTGTTCCTCATAGCTATCGTATTTCGTATTTGTGTAAAACCACGTCGGTCGACCCACGTCGGTCGACCCCTTTTTCAACTCGGACTCGAAGGACTGGTCGAAAGCGTTTTCTCCACAGGGCTCCAGGGCTCGGCTTCCTCTGGTTTTGTTCCAGATAGACTTCTTAGGTGGTATTGTTATGTTCGAAAACCATCTGGCTTCCTTTTGGTGTTTTTTTAACTTCGGAACTTCTTGGGTTTTTGTTATCCTAGTGTTCCTCTGGTGTTTTAGTCGGCTTCCTGTCCTCTGGTTGACGTTTTAGTATCTAGTTTGCTCACGTTCTTTAAACAGGTTTGGACCAGACTGACACGAACAGAGCAACCCGTCCAGTCTTGCTGACTATCTCAGAATCTCTCCGATCCAACAAGGTCCATGGCGCCAGGTCTGGTTTTCCGCGGCGGTATGATTGGATGATTGGTTGATTTAATCTCGGTTCCTGGGTGAATCCCGGTTCCTGGCTGAAGATGTTCATGTCTCGCCTTTTTTTTAAACAGCACTTGGTGTCATGACGCGCCTGACGTGCTCGACTCATCCAGGACTTGTGCGCCCACGCTCGGATCCGAAGCAACTTGGCCACGCCAAAGGTGTGTTGGGACCGTTGTCACACGGCAAGGCGTTGTTAGTGATTTAGTGTGACAACAGGACTGCCGTCACTGACTGGTTGTCATCAAGAAGAGCACAATCTCTTTGATAATTGCCGCAAGTATACCTATTTCCAGTAGTGCAGAACCCGACCACTGGTGTTTGGTTCTTTGAACAGTAGGGCATTGTTGAGACAGATGATCGAAGATGGTGTGAATCGCCGTGGCTGTCATTGTCATTGTGGTTCACCGTGAATTCAAATGACCCTCACGCTCCCATGACTCCATGGAATCAGCGTTGTCCAATGATGTCAAGACCGGATTAGTATAATCCCCACACGGAAGGTGAACAAGGTCAACAAGATCTCAGGTACCATTCATGAGGTACCATAAAACAAAACACACCGGTTTCCACGCCGGTCACGATGAACGGGTTGATCAGACACCGGCTCGTCCGAGAGATCCACCCTCCGACCCTCCGAGGTTCGCCTGATGTGTAGGTGGGTTCGGGTCGGGTCCAGTCATACCGAACCTGAGGGTTTTGTGTTTGTTCTTCCTATGCTTTCACACACCGAACAGCTGGCGGTCTCAGACCACGGACAGCTTGAAAGTCAAGAACAAATTATCTCGGCAAGAGACCCCAAACAGTGTGTGTGTGTGAGGTCTAGAGTCTAGAGGTGTAGCAGCAAAAAGTCTAGAGATCTAGACGCATTGGGGTCCAGAGAGGTGATGGTGAGTGTGAGTGAGAGTGATTGAAAGTGAGAGTGAAAGTGAAAGTGAGAGTGAGAGTGTGAGAGAGAGTGTGAGTGAAAGTGAGAGTGAAAGTGCGAGTGAGACTGAGAGTGAGTGAGAGTGAGAGTGAGAATGAGAGTGAGTGTGTGAGTGTGAGACTGAGTGTGAGCGTGAGCGTGAGCGTGTGTGAGTGAGAGTAAGTGTCAGTTTTTGAGTGAGTCGAGAGTGAGAGTGGGTCCGGAGTGTGAGAGAGGGAGAGGGAGAGGGAGAGGGAGGTCCAAAAGTCACGATTCACTGCATCTGTCACAAAATCAGAGCGCCTCGAAGATCACCACAATGTCCTAAAGTGCTGCGGCTGCCACGAAATTTGCACTTTGAGGTTCACAAACTGCTGTGCCTTCCAAATCTGCATTTCGAGGTTCACAAAGTGCTGGGCTTGCCACGAAATCTGCGCTTCGAGGTTCACAAAGTGCTGCGCTTGTCACGAATCTGCACTTCGAGGTTCACAAAGTGCTGTGCCTGCGACGAAATCTGCACATCGAGCTTCAAAAAGTGCTGCGCCTGCCACGAAATCTGCACTTCAAGGTTCACAAATGCTGTGCTTGCCACGAATCTGCAGTTCGAGGTTCACAAGGTGCTGTGCCTGCCACGAAATCTGCACTTCGAGCTTCACAAAGTGCTGCGCCTGCCATGAAATCTGCACTTTTCAAGGTCCACAAAGCGCATTTGCCTTCCACGACATCTGCAAACGAGCCACGTGTCCAAAAGTCACGATTCACTGCATCTGTCACGAAATCCGGTAAGTAGTATATTTGCCCCTTCTCGTGCCCTTCCTGTTGTTGGTCACATGCCAGTTTTGTTGATGCATTCCTCTATACATGTCAGTTGTTGGATCTGTTGTGGCTCATGTCACATATATACCCCGTGGCCTGCAAGGAACTCACAAGTGCCAAGTTGTAGCCGAAGAAATGCAACTTTTGTAGAAAGGCAAGTTTTGTCAACGGGGCTGCCACTGAATAAGGACGCCCGAAGTGGTGATCACATACGTCGAGGGGCTGGAGACGTTCAACCAAGCCGACCCAGGCGACTATGTCTGCCTGGGGGGCACAAAGTGGCTTGACTTGTCACCCGCACTGCCCTGTGTGCTTTCACGGGCTTCAATGAAGAAACCAAGGCGAGTCAAAAAGTTTGCCGGAGGGTCCTCGCTCCGACAGGGGGGCGCCATAGAGCATATGTGCAGGAACATGAAAAAATATCCCTACCCCACTAACCATGGTTTTGGGGGGGGACCTACCAAAATGTAAGTTACAATTTTCGGGGGGTCCCCAGCCCAGAATTAATTGTAAGTTAAGGTCCTCCCAGGTATCTACGGTGAACTGTTTGGGAGGGGGTGGGGGGGGCTCAGTAAATGTAACATAGGGACCTCCCACGTAGGTAAGTTACATTTTGAGTCTCCGGATGATTGCAGGGGGGGGGGGAAGAAAAATGTAACTAAGTGGTCTTGAGGCTGGAGATGACTCTGCTATTTGCCCTGCCACAAGCCATTGGCTTGAACAAATGCAGAAAGTGGCTACATGCATACAAAAGATCCTCCACATCTCACCGAGATATACCGAGACCCGCGTGAAAAAGTAAGCTATTAAAGGGGCAGGTGAAAAGCTTGGTGTAGAATACCATGAATGTCAATGTAATCTTAAAACATCTAAAGACGCTGGGGAGTGCACAGCTGCGTAGTAGATCATAGCTTGGTGGCGAGTGAAAGCTAGAACAATAGGCCAAGAATGTCTGGAAGGTAAACGGTGAAACCCAAATGAAACATGTAAGCTATGGAAGGGGCAGGTGAAAAGCTTGCTGTAAAATACGGCTTGATGCAATGCACAAACCAGAAGCAGAGAGGAAAAGAAGCTCTGAGAATGTTTGGCATGTCATTTGCAGGCTGTTTGCGTACTTCGACATACGTCAGCATGGAGATTTTACATTTTTCCTATGACAAGGGAAAAATGTAAGCTTACATTTTTGAGGTCCAAAAAAAAATGTAAGCTTACATTTTTGAGGTCCGAAAACATAGGAAAATGTAAGTTACATTTTTGGACGTCCCCCCCTCTTAATTTGTGGGGGTGAAAAAATCAGCGCCGCCTGCGTGGAAGGAAGATTGCATACTTTTTGCTCTGGGTGCACCGGACATTGTGCCTCCCTACGCCGGTTCTTTTTCACATTGCTTGGTCATGCATATTACGGCCGCCGCCTCGTTTTGGAATGCGAATTCAGCTCGTTTTTGGAAGGCGGTTCTAAAGGTGGGTTTCTGGGGAGTGGTTTCTGGGAAGTGGTTTGTGGGAAGCGGTTTCTGGGGCGCGGTTTCTGGGGAGTGGTGTCTAGAGAGTGGTTTCTTGGAGAGTGAGTGGTTTCTGGGGAGTGGCTTCTGGCGAGTGGTTTCTGGGGAGTGGTTTCTGACGAGGCGCGTGGTTTCTGGCGAGTGGTTTCTGGCAAGTGGTCGTTGGGAAGTGGTTTCTGGGGAGTGGTTTCATGGGAAGTGGTTTCTGCGGAGTGGTTTCTGGGAAGCGGTGTTTGGAGAGTGGTTTCTGGCGAGTGGGGTTTGGGGAGTGGCTTCTGGGGAATGGTTTCTGGGAAGTGGTTTCTGGGGAGGGAAATGGTTTCTGGGGTGTGGTTTCTGGGGAATGGTTTCTGGGAGGTGGTTTCTGGGTTTCTGGCGCGTGGTTTCCAGCGAGTGGTTTCTGGGAAGTGTTTTTGTTGGAAGTGGTTTCTGGGATGTGGTTTCTGGGCAGTGGTTTGTGGAGAGTGGTGTTTGCAGAGTGGCGAGTGGATTCTGGGAAGTGGTTTCTGGGGAGTGGTTTCTGGGCAGTGGTTTCTGGGGAAGTGGTTTCTGGGGAATGGTTGCTGGGAAGTGGTTCCCAGTGGTTTCTGGCGCGTGGTTTCTGTCGAGTGGTTTTTGGGATGTGTTTTTTGGGAAGTGGTTTCTGGGGACTAAGTCAAAACCCTAACAAGTGAAGGCCTAAGTCCAACCCGAAGACACCCTAAAGAAGCAAGGCCCTAAGCCAAAGCAAAAGAAACCCTAAAGGAGCGAAGCCCTAAGCAAAACCAAAACAGACCAAGCCCTGAGTCAATCCCAAAGACATCCTAGAGACGTGAAGCCCTAAGCCAAGACCAAAGAAACCCTAAAGGAGCGAAGCCCGAAGCAAAACCAAAAGAGGCCCTAAAGAAGTGAAGGCCTAAGTCAAACACAAAGACATCCTAAAGACGCAAAGCCTTAAGCCGAACCACAAGAAACCCTAAAGGAGTGGAGCCCTAAGCAAAACCGAGAGAGACCCTAAAGAAGTGAAGCCCCACTTGGAAGACTTGCCGAAGGATGTGTGTTCCAAAGTGATCCGCGAAACTGGCGTTAGACTCCGCGAGAGTTTTCTGTTCCTCCCTAAAAGAGCGAAGCCTAAGCAAAACCAAAAAAGACCCTAAAGACGTGAAGCCCTCAAACCCAAAGACATCCTAAAGAAGTGAAGCCCTAAGCCAAGACCAAAGAAACCCTAAAGGAGCGAAACCCGAAGCGAAACCAAAAGAGACCCCAAAGAAGTGAAGGCCCAATAGTCCGACCCAAAGACATCCTAAAGACGCAAGGCCCTAAGCCCAACCACAAAACCAGTGAAGCCCCAACCAAAACCAAAAGAGACCCTAAAGAAGTGAAGCCCCAGGAAGTCTCGTAAACGCGCATTTGGAAGACTTGTGTGTGTGGCTCACTTTTGGAGGAAGTCTCGTACGAAACGCTCCTTTTGGAGACTTGCACGGCTCACTTTTGGAGGAAGTCTCGTACGAAACAATCCTTTTAGAGACTTGCACAGCTCACTTTTGGAGGAAGTCTCGTACGAAACGCGCTCCTTTTGGAGACTTGTGCGGCCCGCTTTTGGAGGAAGTCTCGTGCAAAACGCTCATTTTTGTTATATAGCAAATGTTGCCTTTGAAGCACTACCGAAGGAAGTGTGTTCCAAAATGATCCGCGAAACTGGTGTCAGACTGCGGTCCCGGAGAGTTTTCTGCTCCTCCTCTGTGTTCCAAAATGATCTGTGTTCCAAAATGATCCGTTTCTGGGTTGCCCATATTACATCGTTGCCACTCCACATGGGATGGCTCTGAGCTAGCGGAGTACTTCGAGCAAGAGTTCTTGGAAAGAGACGAAGATGGTAAAATCATTGCCAGTTGGTATGACGGAGCTGAGTGATCCAGTGGGGCTCATCGAACGACCGATTACAGAGCCGTGGCTCAAAGAGCAAGTATATCTCTCCCAGGTACACCTGAGTTTTTCAAGGATGCAGCAACACCAACATATGGGCACACGGCTTTGAGCAGCATAGCCGCGAAGACTTCATGAAAGTTATAGGCTTGTCTTGCACCAGAGGTAACAAGCCTCAGGAAATTAGCTACAAAATGATGGAGCATTGGCGTTTGGCACAGCACATGATGTGGGCTGAGGATTGAAAAAGCTGTCCAAAGGCTTTTGCAGCAGCTGTGTTGGTTGTGTTGTGGACAAACTGTCTTCACATGTTATGGAACCCAGGCTTGTCATTTGCATTTATGTGTAGGCTTTTGATTTTTTTGCTGAGATATTGGAGTTATTTGTAAGCATTTGGAACGTTTTGCTGAAATATTGATGGCTGATTGGATATACTTGTTAGCCATTTGACAAACTATTTGATGTAAATCATACTGGAAACCTCCAAGTTTAGATGTTCAATGGTTTTGAGGTTCAAGGTTATTTTTTTGAGAATAACCTCAAACAATAACCTCCAGCACTTGAGGTTATTCAATGGTTGAGGTTATTGTTTGGCAATAACCTCAGAGGTTATTTTAAACCTCAGCTGATCTATAGGGACAGAACAACTCGCGCAGAGTCAAAGTCGATCCAATCGGGAAGTTTCCCGGCTAGCCAACATTCAGGTTGTGGAACAGTTTCATTCGAAACTGAAGGACGACCTCATATCACTTCAACCCGTACATGGGGGAGATCACGCAATTGTGGCTTCTGCTGTTGATGATGTGCTGCGCCTTTGGTCGTGTAAGACACAGAGTGATGAGGAGTCCCCAATAAGTTTTAAGTGACTGCGTGCACCGTTTGCACCGATGTCGCACCCCAATCGGCCATTCCGCTCTTTAAGGTTACCTTCCTGGACAGACCTTGTGCATCCAAGCCAAGCAGGATGGGTTTCTCAAGGCTTAAGGCGTCCATCCAAGAGGATGGTTTGTGTATGTCATACGATTCGTCATGCATGCATCAGAAAACCTCCTCAACTCACCTTCCAATCATTTTGATAGACCACATATAACAGTAACATCATTCACCCAACAATACCCATCCGTGTTGTTCTGCTGTTCTGCCGCTCTGCGCCGAAAAAAAATCACGTCGCGTAAAAAATGTTCTCTCCGTGGCCCGTCCACCGCGGCTGGCAGGACAAGGGGCAGATGTTCCTGGTGCGCGGCGGTTCCTTGGTCGTGGCGTGGAGACCCGGAGAGACCCGGACTGTCGGTGGGTTGGTTCTTGTTTGACTTCAGCTAGCGGTTAGGTGGTGAAAGATGGTGTTCTCCTTGGGGGGTCCCGGTCACCGGGTATTTGGACGAAGGGTGTGACAAAGGGAGATGAGTGACCTAGTTGAAATGTGGTTGTTTTGCCACCAATTTGGTCCTTTGGTTTCCCTAGGACATTTACCATATGACCTGGCACATGCGTGAGTATTTGAGAAAGCTGTTGCATCTGAGCAAAACAGATCTTTGAAGCATGGATGAACCGTCTCCCGGCCTCCCTGCCTTCCATGTTCGGTCAGCCGGTCAGCCTCATGGGCTGAAGAAGGGTCGTCGACAGGGTCAGTACTTGGACCCGGCTGCAGACCTCAAATCTTCTCCACCTGCTCCACCCGCCCATGTCTTTTGCACTCCCGGTGCCCATCTCTTCCCGCACCCAAGGAGATCCCCTAACCTGCAGTCACAAGACGGGGTGCTATCCATGGAGGAAGTCGGGGTGCCCCTGTCACATCCACAGCCCCTGGATGGGACTCGGACTATCACCTCTTAAGATGACTCCTGGAAGTGGAGTCTTCCTGACCACGAAAAGCCGAGCGCTTTCGATCCTTTCCCACCTTTGTCCCTGATCCAGGAGAAGGACGGACGGCGGCGGAGCGAGATTGGTCCGGGAGCTTATAGCTCGATTGGCGCGCGCAGCTTGCGCTTGCGCGCTAAGCTGGCGGGGACTTGGATTGATTTCGCACCTCAACAATAGACATTGGTTGGGAATTCGGGAGTTCAGGTGCGAGATGTTGCTAGCCTGGAGATGCTGTATGCAAACAATTTCTGCAGCTGTCCCGGACAGAGCCAAGGACTCCACCAGTCAATTCGCAGGGACAGCATCGTTCAAAAATGAATTTATAAGTTGGTTGCTACAACAAGCTGGAGATGTCAGTTACATCAAGTATGCATCGACATAGAACCTGATCATTTAAGTAAGTGCTATATAGTCCATCTTAAAACGACCAAACAGCTCTTCAGCTAAGCTCTCCTCGTGTAACGGTGACGTACGGAAGTCCATCCGGACACCCCTTCCCCCGCCGGCCCGGCCGGCAGCCCCGCCGAGGCACTTGCATCGGTGACCTGGTGATCCTCGGTGCGGAGCACCAACGGCCCTGCACGGCTCGGGTCCCCAGGGAGAGCACGACCGGGCGCGGCCGCCCGCCGTTGGAGCGGCTCCAACGGTGGGTGCCAGCCGGGGTCGAACACCGCCGAAGCTGAGGAGATGGTTGGGTTGGGTGTGGGACTGTTGGGGGGAAGTCCTGTAGAGCGGAGCCATGCCGAGCCATCAGGTTCGGTTGGATTCGCATGGCTAGGGGACTGGAACCGTGAGTGGAGGTGCCTGGAGTCGAGCTGTTCCGCTGGTCGGAACAAGTGGGGACGTTAGAGTGGACGTTAGATGGGTACGTTTAAACATGTTTTTTGTTTGGGTCAAGCCCCATGTTCTCTATAGGGTACTTTGGAGGGCCAGGTGGTACCGTATGCAGTAAAGAGTATACCTGTTTGGAGGCACGCCTGGAGCTTCAAGAGGGTGAGAAAACTGGTGATCTTGACCAAGTGATTGTCGCTCAAGAAGTCTTTGTTTTGAGAATTCTGCAAGACAAGAAATCACATGAGAGCATGCAGTGATGCAGTCACTGCATGCCTCTTGATCACACGTTGAGACATGCCTTATAATGAGCTTCTTTGACCTGTCAACTGCCTTCACCCCCCAGAAACCGGCCAACAAACACTTTGTCCCCACACCTTCCCACATGTCCTTCTACTTCGCTCTGATAGCGGCCGCTCACGATCACGCGCGCACGAGCTCCAGGTTCGCGCCCAAAGTTTCGTCTTCACCCTGGAGATTCCCCGGAGCGCCCTGCTGCAGGAGCGCTCCTGCTACGTGTGTGGAGAGGGTCACGGCACGTGTTGGGGGGCCAAGGCCAGCTTATTGATGGCCGGCTTTGGGTGGTGGATCTATGGTGATACCCTCAAGTTGTACCAAACAAGTTCGGTATATGGCACCGACCTCTCTATTACTCCTATGACGGGGGTTGTGTGTGATTGGCCCACTGTAGTGGGGACACCTGGGAATCTGCCCGCGGTGGGCAGATCTGAACACATGACCTTTTGAAGGGCTTTGGCAAAAAAAGGTCCAATCATTTCGAACATGTACACCCCAGACGTAGAGTATCGTAGAGTATGATGTTTAGGTTACACCCCAGACAGATGTAGAGTATGATGTTTAGGTTAGCTGTACCTGGATCCGACTATGCCCTAGAAAATGGGACGTGACTCAACAAGAATAGTACAAACCTACCCATTTTCCGAGGTACGAACTGAGACTCCCAAAACTGCTACTTCGGGCACGCTGCCGGGCGCGCGCGCTTCTTATAGGGTTCAGATGCGATCAAAGAGGCAACATCTAGAAGTGGATTTTCCACAGTTTGGCATGAATGAGTTAGTTGTGGTTTACAGAACCCAGGGTCCAAGTCCCAGATGTCTTTTGAATACGGTCTTTGGAGCTCAAAGGTGTCCGAATTCGATGGTCCTGCGTGCGTCATGTTTTGAAGACCTACCTGACCACCTGATTCCTTGTGATGACCATCCCGAATGCAGGCCATCGACCGGCATCCTGAATGCAGGCGAGATGATAGGTGGTGATCGATGTCAATTTTAATACAGAAACAACCGAACCCATGAAATGGCGATTCATTCTGGGTGTGTGCGCCTTGGGCCCTTGGGTCCTTGGGTCTGTCCTATCACCTGTAACAGTCGGTTAAAAGGGTCTTAAAGGCCTATCTTAGAGAAAGGCCTCGAACCTAACCATCATCATCCACTGTTACTGTTAAGAGGATATACCCAATGCATACTTTGACAATCCAAGATATGGACTTTCAAACCAACTACCTTGACTCTCAGCTTACCTGGATCCTTCAGCAAGGATCCAACGCAAGCCTGCTATTCAGCGGAGTTCTTTCGCCGTTCAAGACCAGGAGAGAGAGAGAGAGAGAGAGATCTCCCATGGCATCCTCAGGTCCTCATTGGCTCGGCGGCCGTTGGCTCGGCGGCCGTTTGGCGGGTCCCCAAAAGAACGTCTGACACGGCCCAAGGTGGTGTGGCTGGTCCGGCTGGTTCGCGCCCAGTGGCCAAGTTGAACGCCAACTCGCACGGCCTGCCAGGCCTGGCATGGAACATCATGGAGCATTGGAAGGTGGATGTGAACCATTCGGGAAGGAGAAGGAAGGCAGATCAAGGTGCAGAGACTGCAGAGAAAGAGATCGATAGACCAGGCGCATGTGGTCGCTTGAGGAGAGATGAGGGAGGAGGAGGAGGCTAGTGGAGGCTGTGCATGTGGTCGCTTGGTTGGATGTTGAAGGAACTGAAGAAAGACTATCTCTCAGTCGAGGTGCATTTCCTGGAGGCCTTTTGTTGCCGGAAGGGATCCTGGAAGAATGACGAGCGATACAGCATGATGCTTTTTGAGATCTCACGCATGTGATACTGCATTGCTCAGAAAGCTACAACTCGCTAACAGCCAACAACTAACCGCAGACACTCCATGTATGATGTATGTATGGCATATTTACCTGCATTCACACCTGTTCAACCACCCCAATAGTATATAAGCCCTACTAGTAACTAGTAGGGATCCAGGTACCTTCTCAGGTACGGTGATGTGTTCGACACTCTGTAGGTGGGAGGATCCAGGTACCTTCCGTACCTTCTCGGAGATCACCTCCTGGAGTAGTGAGAAGTCGCCAGTCCCTACGAACAGCCCCGGTGCTCGACCCACCCCCGGGTGACATGACACGCGCTGTGTACTTGGCGCGGACACTTGGGACATGGGGTGGTTGAACAAAGGGGTGATGTCCTGAGCTGGTTTGGGACTGGCATATACCCTGAGATGGGTGTATAGGTCAACATAACATGAATTATGCCATACATGGGAGTGTTTGGGATCAATCATGTTGCCGATTCTTGTAACACCATGTTACGGTCCCTTCTTTTCGCCACGGGCCATTGCCGCATTTCAACCCGCTCCTCGGCGCGGCCCGCGTGGCTCCCGGGATTGGACGCCTCCCCCAATCCCGTCGTGGGAACACCGACGCCTGGGTGCAGAACGGGGGCCTGGATCAACCATGGATCGACCATTGGCCGATCAGTTGGGCAATTGTTGATCATTCAGGACTTTCACCTCGTGGTCTTCGCCTGCTTCGTAGTCTTGGGGAGAACGTGCAATTTCATCAACGTGTGGAAGATCCCTTCGCCCCTGGTTAGGTGTCGCCCCGTTCCGTTCCCATCTCGTTCTGTTCATCGTGGGGATGTGAACAGTTTGACACCGGCTTCTCATGGACAAACACCTCAGTTTGGCGATGAAAACGCCTGGCTCTTCAGCTGAAGAGTCTGAAGAGTTTTTGCTACAGCCCAGTGATTTAGGTAAAGAGGGCAGTTAGGATGGGTCAGATGATTGGTAGTGATTAGGGTTACTGTATTTGTTAGTGTTCACCAAACGTGTGGAATCGACGCAGCAGATCAACGAAAGAGTTTAGACCCTACTTCTACTCGGATGTCAAGAGAATAAGCTGCAAATAGAACTCTATAGCCACCAACCGGCGTTGGATTGCACAATCCAAAAAGCATGATCTGGGGGTCGTTGGAAGGTTTCACTCTTTGCTTTTCATCAATGAGTTGAGCTAATCAGATGGGCTAAGCTTCCTTAGTTCAAGCAACAAGGACCAACCTAAAGCACCGATTCGTTCCCTTTTTGGACCTAACATGACCTAACTTGTAGCCAGTACATAGCTGGACCTTCCAACTGTGAACGTGTATTGTATTGTTAGTCTACAAAACAAACCAAAAAAGACCAAACAAACATGCATAGGAAGATCAATCTATGTAATTTACCACCTCGAGAAGAGTTGGGATCCATTGCCCTTCCAGCACTCAGCGCCAGACGGGCGCTGGAGAACTATGCGCTGCAGACGATTGGCCAGTACGAAGATCAGGTCAACTATCCGTCAGGAGTTTGGTGTGATGTAGTCATGACAGAAATGTAGATGTATGCTGCAAAAAGCGACATCCGATGGTTTTTTTGGATGGTTCTTGTGAAGGGAAGTGGTTCGTAGATGAAATAGTTCTTTACTAGATCTCTCACTGTTCCAACATTTCCTGTGACATCGAACCCCCAAAAGGGGACACATCACATATCATCACATCATTTCCCCACAAAAAATCAACACCAATACAACCAAACTCACTTCAAGTAGGCAGGAACAAAGAACACCAAGCACGCAAAAAGACCAGCGTGGTGTTTTTTTCAACACAGCCAGCCGCCCTCCTCGGCCTCGCCTTTTCGCCTTCTCGCCGTTTTCGCCTGTCCACCGGGGAAAGCCGGAGCCCCGAAAACCGTCGCGAAAAGGGCGGTGGCGTGCAGTGGCCCATGCAGAAGGCGGCACCGCAACGCCGGTGGCCCCGGCCCGGACCGGACCGGTCGTGGCGTGGGAACCGGGCGCGGCGGGACCCGTGGCTGGAAGAAGAAAGAAGACGCGCTTGGTCCTCTACATGGTGTATTGTATTGGAAGTGTTCATTTCAGGGTCACTGCATGGGTCCCTAAATGGTTTTTTTGAGGGGTTTTGAGGCTCTGATTAGATGAAATGAAGTCCAAAGGGGGCATCATCTAAACAAGCATGTGCTGCATTGTGCTGCCACTTAGGAGCACCCCACTCCAGGGATTAAACACATTGACGCTGCATTAAGTCAAACGAAAGGACTATGTCACAAGTTGGTACACTCAAGAAGTAGAGATTAATGATACCACAGCTGGCCAGCGGCAAAAAAAGACAAACATAACCCTGGGGCATCTCAATACATGCTGGTGCCTGAAATCTCCCCAGCGGGAAAGCACCACCAGACTGCAGCTATACACTGTGTATCATACACTGCATATGTTCCGCCAAGCACCTGCTGCTGCTACTGCACGGGTGAAATCTTCATGGAAGAGTATAATTACGCTGCTGCACATCGTGTCAAAGGCACCTCAGTTGCACCAGCCTTGCCCTGGGATCATTTTGCGCAAGCGCGCTCGTTCACCCGTGCGTTCACCTCGCCGGCCTTTTGAGTATGAAATTCGCCACATGGCCGGCCTCTTCGCAGTTCACTTCTCAAGGCCTCAGCTACTTGCTGAACCTCTACGCAGGTGTGAAGGCCGCGGCGCATTCAGCCGTCCCGTTGGCTTCCGAGGGCACCGTGGGGTCATGAGGTGATCTTACTCTTTCGACCTCCGGTGCCCACGGGAACTTGACCGTGAAGCGATGGCGTGGCTGTGGAGCGATCGCTTCATTTTGTAGTCTAGACACTCCATGACCGCCATGGGACGGCGTGTCCCATATGCCTACAATTGCTCCCCAAACCACCAGAATGAAGGCAGATACATAATAATGATATGTCATACGTGGGAATGTTTGGGTTAGGATGGACCGACTCATGCATTCGGTGAGTGCGTGTGGTTGACGGTGCAAGGTCTTGACCAGTGCCATGGTTGATGGAGGGCTGTAAAGACTGAAAACGCGTGGGAGAATGGATGTCCTGTTTGTGCAACTCCAGTCCATCCTGAGATTGATGGTGAAATTTTGGTCTTTCTGTTGTTTGACGTCTTATTCAGAAGGTTAGTTTTCAGATTATACTGCAGACCACTGGATGTAAGCCTCAAAGAAGAAGAGCCATGTGCTTTGGTATCGAATCAATCGCGGCTACCCGGTCTACCATGCAGCCGCAGCGATGAGACAAGCTCATGTGTGAAAGATACTTAAGGCTCTAAGGCTCCAAGGAAGTTCAGCAGAAATGACCCCGGCTTCACATAGTAGATGCGTTCTTTGATCTGATAGCTTAGTCTATTGGAATTATTTAGGGATGTTCCAGATGAACAACATCAAACAAACGGAACAACCAAGCAAAAAAACTTAAGTATAAACAAGATTAAACACGTATGTTGTTTAGTTAAACATTCTTTGTTTATACCCGTAACAACAACATTTGCGGTGAGAGCCGCTCGCTGGACCACCCAGCCACCCTCCACCCGGTGTTTTGCAAGCGCCTCCCAGTTGTACGACCCCGCAGAGTCGGATTGGAAGAGGCCTGGGTGCTGCCAGCTCACGGCCCCTCACTGGTAGGTGGTCTTATGAATGATCCCTAGGGCTCCAACTGCCTCTGTTTCAAAGCTGGGCCAGGGGTGGGTGCCTGGGGGTCTAACCACCTTCTGAGGATCTGGGCCAGGACCCCTAGGGGAGGGTCGTCTTGCGGATCAAATTAGTTGATTCTTGGTATATTTTTCAGACACGCTATACACTCCATACATGGGACTGGCATACAGCTATAGTATCTGATATTTAGATTCACCCCGGGGAGCCTTTTCAACCACCCTGATGTATATGTAAATGAAACACAACCCCAGACAGGTCATGTTTGGGATCATATGCTTCTCCCGGCGGCAAGCTCGGCGTCGTTTTGCATGGGGGAAAGGGCTGGGTAGATCCAGGCTGGGTCCGTGTTTCCTGAAGATCCTTTGGGCCAACTCGATTTTTGATACCCAGATATACCCAGCTTTGTGGTCTTTGGCCTGCAAAAGTTCAATTGGGATTTCAGGATTGGTCGTGCATGTGATGGTGATCAGCCAAGGTCACTAGCAGGTTTCTTCATTTCTTCATGAACTAATAAAGCTACTAATGATGGCACTTCATTTTACTGCTTGGCTTTGCCAGCTAGCGGAGGTCTTTGGCTGTTGCGGTTCTTCCTCCATGTTTACCTTACACTTCAGCTATACTGTTTTCACTTGCGCCCTGCAGTATATGTCAATAGACTAGTACAGTATATATGTTGCATATTGTCTTGGGGGTGCAACTCCAGGTAAACATTTGCCACAGGAACTTGGCAGTTCAGTGACTTTTGCTGCTAAACAGTCACGCTTGGCGCACTCTTTTCTGAACGCCAGGTTGGCAGATGAGTCTGCGGTTCTGGTCGTACAAGGAGGGGCTGACCGAACTTAGTGGGGCTTCAACTGGCATGGGAAGCTGACTTGGGAAGCTGACTTGTTGGGAACTTACTGGCTGAAGGTCATGTAGACTCCATGATTTGAATGGGACATCCTCTTCATACCCAGTCCCACCTTTTGTTCGGAGCTTGTTGGAGTCCAAGAAGACGGCACACACTGGTCGCTCGCTTCCGCTTCCGGGTGGGAGGTCGCTTCAGGTCGGGACGTGGCAGCTCGTGGTCGCTTCAGGGTCCGGTGTACTCAACCAGACCCTGGAGGTCCTTTTGGTTTAGAAGGGATTTCTTACTAAAGAAACGGATCAGGTTAAACCATGTGAAGCGTGGATGTTCCTCTACTTGGGAAACGAATCAGGCTAAACCATGTTAAACCCTCCGAGAAGCCTGGATGCTCCTTTACTTGGGTCCAACAGATAGGCGAACTGGACTTCTAGGGTTGTGGGATACAGAACAAGAACAGGGAAGCAATGTTGTAAGTTTTGATGAGTTCCATGATAGGTTTTGAACCCACATCAGACGTCGTTTTAAAAGACATCCCTTTGGCGTGTCCAACCAAAGATCTAGCTAAGGTAATTTAGATCCCAGAATCTCCATGTATGCCATACGCCCACATTGACTCCCCAAACCACCCCAACTGATCTGCAAATATGGCAGCATACATGGAGTGTTTACACGCCTGATGTGTTCATCGCAAGGAGAAGCCTTGGTGATGGATGAAGATGGCAAGGAGGTGGAAGTGCCTTAGGTTGCAGCTCTCGCCGGCATCCGAACAGCATTGACCATTATAGGCCCGTATAGGCCTGGGAAAACCCTCGTGATTGGCCCCACATGCCCATGACCCATGCTCCAATGTGTCATTTGGAAACCGCGTGAGGGGGTTGCTTTCCTTGGCCTTACAGATGGTGTATGACTGACAAACATGGAGGAAGCCGAGAAAGCCGTGGGACCTTGCCACCACCGAAAATGAACAGAATATATTAGTACTGCGGAGGTCAACCTAGGGGGGACTTTGGGTGCCATGGCCCGCAGCCACAGAAACCGGCAAATCCATGAAACTGGCCAACGCTTCCAGTCCAACGGTCGTCAGAAACAGGGCAGTTCCCTCAGTCCTCGGTCCTTTCGCACATCGCCCCACCAGGGATGATCCAGACTCAGAGCACATCGCCATGCAAATCAGCAGAGGAGGGTAAGTCTTATGGTCGACCAGCTGTAGGGAAGGTTGTTCAAGCCCCAAAAGACTTCAAGTAGTCCCTAGAAGGTATGACTGGACCCTCCTGGCACCCACCCCAGCCCCACCTTCTCAGAAGGTACGACTGGAGGCCTAGGGAGCTTGACTTTCGTACTATTTACTCGTGCGCTTGGCACGAGTTCTGTGGCGCCCTGCCCTGGCAGAAGCGGGATGGTCCACATGGTCCGCCCTGCCAGTCATCCGCCGGAGGGCACCAAAACGCCACCGGAAGAATCACATCATGAATAATCAACAAGTTCATCACATACCCTACAAGTCCAAAGACCCAGTAAAACCTGGTCTTTTACCTCCTTAAGTATTGGTTTTGTATGACCATCCCCAGTAAAATGAGGTCTTTGACTTGTAGGGATAGTGTTGATTTGGTTACACTCCGGCTCACTGACATGGAATTCAATTCCAACCTGTTTGTACAGGAACATGTTCCATGCTATCCCCTTCCACGCTAGTGAGTCGGAGTGTAATTCATTGGTTGGTGCAACTACATGGAGGCACCACAATTTAGCTTCATCCGTGAGTTCCTTATCCAGCGACAATCTCCTCATCACATCGCTGTAGCTGGGATTTCCATCATCTCATGAATCAAATTTATGTCATTTGTCGCTGGCAATGGATACATGCTGCAGGGGTGCTAAAACCTACACACCCAAACAATAGTTTTTGAGATCAAGCTGAGACTTAATCAGCCTAACAACGAATGCTTGATGCAACATGATGCAACCACAATCAGTGAGTTCGGACCGCAAAAACAGTGGATATACCGATATACCTTGCTATTTAATTGTTATGCAATGAGGTCATTCATCTTGCAATGTTGGCTTTGTCTTGTTGGACATATTTATGTGCAGTAGGTAGACGCCGGCGTCGAAAAGAACTGGACGAAAACACATGCCATACGCCAAACGGGTGACTTGACGAAAACCCCCCATGGGATCTTTGATGTTCTAGACTTTGATACCTGGAAGGCCCTAAGAAGTCCAGTCTGACCCAGTAAAGCCTGGTCAAACTAACCAGACCTCCGTATACAACTGTTTTTGCACGGCCAACTGCCAACTCCAGTCCTTCCTGAGGTCCTTGCCTTCAGACGGTCACCAGTTCTTGGAACGGTCCCCGGTCCAGCGCGGTCGAACTGGACTTCGGACGCCCGGGTCGAAGCGCGGTCGAAGCGCCGAACCTCGAGGTGCTGCGGATCGGAGACACCTTTAACGAGCAGATCTTGCTGGGCATCCCCGGTGGTCGCACGGTGAGCGGTCTCAGGCGTGGCCGTACGGCGCGTGTTTTTGGGTTTTTGGCCCCAAACGGTGTGGACATGGCCGTGGGGGGGGGGGTTCTTACGGTAGGTGTTAAGCAGGGATCATGGTTTATGAATGTTTTTTTCGCTAGGGACTGGTGGCTGCAGTTGGGACTGGTGGAATGTGAACAAATTTTCAACGTGCCCCGAAAGCATTTGTTGGTGGGCTTAGAATAATGGCATGGACAGATTCAGAGTAGCACTGTTTTGGAACATATTGCACACAAGACCAGGCGGATTTCGGTAGTGCAGCGAAGACGTGTGGAAACAAGTGCTTTGCCTGTGATGCCACCCAGAGACGTGGAACTCTTAGCTTCGGGACTCGCAGGCTGGATCTAGCGAGGTGATAAAAACTCGGAAAAGAGTTGCCCTATAGATAGATCAGTACTTACTACAGAGGGTTGGTGGTTCTACAATCAAGGTGATTCACAAGCAGAACGTGATAAGAATACCGCGCTTAAGTTTGAGTATGGAGAAAGGATGACCAGGTCTGGATCCAAATAAGAGTTGACTGCCATGAAATTCACTGGTCCCAGGTGTAAAACTCCTAACTCCAGTGTCGGGTTTCACGTGTTTATCGATGAACTGTAGGAATCAATGGAATCACTGTTAGAAGCCAACGCTAGAAGCCAATGCCTCAGTGTTCAGATTCTCAGATTTTCAAGATTCAAGATGATTCAAAGAATTACTTGCGAACATTTAGGTCCCCTCCGAGTCTGAGTCCCTCCTTTTCCGCAGGATTGCGTCATGTTGCATCATCGCCTTCTCCGCAGGTTTCACATCCAGACCCCTTGCGAGTTGCAATTTGTCTCCTTGGCCGTTTGGGAGAAGGCGATGGCGCTAGCGAAGAGCGGTTTCCGCGCGTTTTCTCTGCGCCAAGCAAGGGTATCTTGCACGGAAACTTGAAAAGCCAATGAAAGCACCAAATTACGGCACTGTCTTAGAATCCCACTTTGAGCGAAGCGATACCCTATGAACAACATATGGCAGTGACCCTTTGACACTGATGAGTTTCACCAGTTCTGGTTTGGATGCAATTTGGTATTATGCATTGAAGATTTCTGCACTCTTGGTCAACAAAGTATCCACCGCGTATGTATATCGTGGATTTACCTCACAAATCATGTAGCCCGGCCTATATAGCTGTGAGTCCAAACCTCCCAACAACAAACCATGCCCTAGGGATCCAGTCGTACCTTCTCAGGTACGGTACTTGGAGCCTCCAAACCTACATAACAGTCTCCAAGCACCGTACTAGGGATGGTAGGTGGACACCCTTCAAAAGAGGAATCTGTTCACTTGATCAGGTAGGTCCCCCCACAGCGCACGTGATGTGCCAAGTCTCACGGCCCACGCTGAACTGCCTCGCCGGAACTGCCGGAACGCTGGTTATCTTCGACTGAGATGTCCGGCTTCTCCAAGGTTTGGTCTTCCACAGGGGAAGGGGTTGCTTCTCTTATCGTTTGCCCGGCTGAGTGACTGGGGGGATTTTGTTGAGCGTACCGCTTCGTTTGGTGGCGAAGCGGCGAAGAAGCCGGAAGCCGGAAGCCGACGTTTTCAGGGGATTGGCTCAGAAATGGTGAAATATGGTGAAATGACTGATGACCTGGTCGGTCCTTCAGGATTTTCAGTGCAGATCGAGTCTTGGAAGATCCAGACTGTCAAGACACTATGGGATTTGAATGCACCATCAATATATATATATATATTAATCAATATATATATATATATATTATTGTTTTCCATGTTTGATACCTAAGAAATGCAGAGTTACAAGATGGAACTTGGATTATTATTGAATACATATAGCAGCTAAAGGACATCCAATTTGGTGGGCCCTGGAGGCCCTTAGGGCTACAGCAGTAGACAAATGTAGGCAAGGTGAAAGGGAAACTCTGAGGTTGGATGAAAGAACCCTTTAAACATATTGTTTTGGGGCACAACATAATTCCAATGTTATAAGAATATATAAGATTATGAAGACCAATGGAGATCAGTATATATAATATATAAGACATTATTTGTTGTTGGTCAATGGTGTTTTTTTTTGTACCATTCATTTTGCTGTTTTTTCTAACCCAATGACAGCTTTATCAATCGCAATGAAGAAAAGGACTGAACAAGTTTATATCAGTTCACTCACATGGGGTCAGAAAAGGAGACGATTGCTTGACCTTACCCTGGGCTGAAAGGGTTTTCAATCTACTGGACCCTCCAAAGTACCTTAGGACATGACCGTGACATGACCCCATAAACAGAACGAACTGAGACTCCAGGTATATTGATGTTCGGCGGCGGACTCACGAGTCTCAGAACCGAGAACTCTTTCGCATCGATCACGTCGGGATCCCCCCCAAAGCAGGCAGGTGTCATGTGACAGTGACTGCTGTTTGGCGGTCAAAGTCGTGAACTACCTCTAAGACAATTTTGGGGATGCATGGGGTTGGTGGAGCCTGTTTTTGGGAGAAACATATTGTTTGTGTATTTAGATGGGTAAGTTTTGCACCTGGAGTCTTTGGGCCTGAAAACACATCGTCTGCATGCACACCCGCGCCCTTCACACAAAGCGACTCAAGTTTTCCGGAAGGTCCTCCGGGCACAGCTGCGACTCGGCCAGGTGGTCTCAGACTTTCCACAAGACCAGGAACTGATCTTCCGCAGCATTCGGGATACCATGGCCTCTTGAACATGCACTCAGTGGACAAGCCTTGAGTGGAAAGCAGGGAGGCTTTCTCCGATGTTTGTCACCCATTGGATCATCCCACTGTTGTTTGGGGAGTAGAATGCAAAACGCGAGTGGAAAGCAGTTCAAAAAGCCTCTCCTCACACCCTCGCAGCAGAACGTTCACCCCAAAAGGATGAGGGAAAGGATGCCTGGGGAGAAGCTTCCCTGGGAAGAAACCCATTTCTCGTGCCATGACTCACGGTCGGAATTACTGGAGACTTGCTCCGATGGACGAACTACCGGTGTTGAGCGACGTTTGGGGATTTGATTCCCCTGAAGAACTCGAGTTGGAGCCCGACGAACCTCATGTGGATCGCATGTCAACTTCTGGAGACAGAGGTTGAAGAACCTTACAGACCATCCTATAGGGACCCCAGAATGGTCCTATATATATATATAGGTCTTAACCTCTCTTGGTATGTATCGTGAAAACGTGGCCAATCCAAGTCATTCAAATTGCTCAAGCCTCTTGAGATCGGTCAAAGAGTTGATGTAGAACAAGGTATCTACCAGCACCTCAGTGCCATTTCATCACCTGCCACTCCTAGGTTTGCAACCATATCATACCATAAATCTACATTAGAATATTATGATTATATATTGTATACGTATTATAGCACACATATGGCATATTTAACTATACAATCACCCCTGAAATCGGCCCTATGCATGTAAATATTCCATATGTACATGGAGTGTCTGGGATGATACTTAATGTACGCGATTTTGACGTACTGATGTATCATACCCTCCAATTCATCCGTTCAGCCGCAAGACCCCTCCTTCAGGCCCGAAAGGCAGCGAAGAAGCACGGCCTCTCTATGTCCTCCCCGGAGATGGTGCCGTTCCTGCGCGGACGGTTTCGCGGACGAGTCCTGCGGTTGGTTTTTGGGGGCACCGCGGCTTGTTCCTTGAATAGACTTCCACCAAGACTCTTCCCTCCTGTTCCCACCAGCATTGGAAGAGGAGAGGCCTGAGGGGGGCTTGTTGAAGAGCAGCTCGGAATTCTGAAGAGCGGAGCGGACTGGACTTCCCTAGCAGGTTTGTCAGTTGCTTCGGAGCAGGACACAGACATGTGAGGCAGAAGACAGTTTTTTTAGTTTTTTTTCGGGGCACCTTGCGGCAAGATGCGTTTCTGCACCGTTTGAATGTTGATCTACAAGTTCAGGAGAGAAAGCAGGTCCCGTGGCAGTGAGAAAGCAGGTCGTGTGTCTTTTTGAGCTTCACCATCAGCGAGATTGATGCCTTTCACGTGTTCGGTGCATTGTGTTTTGCTCGTCTGTTCTTGTGCTGATGACTTCGGCCGTCCCACGACTACAGCATTTCGCAACATTCGATCTGGTACCGGGTTGCGCCCATGTTTGCAACGCCCAACGCCCAACGACACACGCCCAGCAGGTTCGCATGTCTTCGCTCTTGCGATACCTTTCGGACGAAAGCATCCAGGACGTATCCAGAGATCGGCGCGTGAAGGGTTTTTCCACTCGTTCCCCATGTCCCATGCACTGCAGGAGACTGCAGGATGATGTAGCACTGATGTAGCCCGATGCTGTCCTGTTTGATCAAAGAATTGACATCCAACACCAGCGGATGTGGAGCTGGTCCTGCTGAAGCGTTCAGAAACGTTCAGAACTGTCCACGACTCACGTAGGACTTATAGACAGATATATGATGCTTTAAAAGATACGTCTTTCAACAGGTTTTTTCTATGTTCACATGTTTTTTTCTCCGTTGATGCTTTGCCACAGCCTCGGTTTTTTTGGCACCCCATGCCTGCGCAAGGGCGCAAGGGCCCCAAAGTGCGCTGGCGCAGCACGTGTTTTCAGGACTTGGCGAAGCACTTCGAGCCCATTGTGGTGAAGTTGGGACGCCCAGGATACGACGTGAGACGTGTGACGCCGAGGATACTGATCAAACGTGGCCTTGGGATGTGCCAAAGCTGCAGGGTTCGAATCCTCGAGACGTGGCCTTTTAGGTTTTGTTTGTTTTTTCTTTTCCATGCCAAAGAAAAACAGAACCATTGCAAAGAAGAAAAGCACGGATCAAATCAGGAACACATGTGCGTTTTTCCATGGGTCTCTTGGTTCCTGAAGCGACCCGCAAAGCTCCCGCAGTCTCGACGTCCACAGCTTTGAGACTGAAGTGTAGGAGGTCAGCTGGAGTCGCTGGGAGGCGGAGGCGACCCCCCCAACCTCGGAACCAATGGGTGTCGCTTGTACCTGCTAGGGTTACTGTAGAGTTATTCAATACCTACGGCAATTCGCCTTATCAAATGGTGTGCAAGAGCCCCACCCGGATATTGCCAACGGTCTGTTATTCATGTGCCACTTGGCAGGGTATATTTTGGAGGGTCCAGTTCGTGATGCATATGTTATAATGCTCATACAAGCAGGTGAAATAGCTCACCTGGGTCACCCTGCACCTTCCCCAGACTCCCGAACCTTAATGAATGGCGGAAGCCTCGGCTTCCCAGGCAGAGCGGGCAGGGCGGCAGGGCCCCGAGACCTGTGGCCCACTCCTAGGCCCTTTGCAGAGATCATCACCAAGGGCAAGCCTGATGGCGTGATGTTGGGGGCGCTCAGGGAGTGGGAAGATCACCTGTCTTTAGATGATTGATGTGTGTTTGTCAGGTGAGGCTCGTCAGGTGGCAGGAACATAAATTGTTAAAATGTCATGGTGGGGATCACTAATTTTAAAGTAATAATTTCAGTGTTTGTTTTATTTCGTTCATTATAAAATGTAAGATTCATGACATGGCATGATCGTCAATGGTTTTCTTATATCAATTGGTCGTCTTATGATCATTTATGAAAGTACGAAGGGCATACACCAGTTCATACAAGACCATAATGAAGATCCATGACTCCATGCCTCTATGCCAACTCATGAAGCAGTTGTGTTTATTTGTTGTGTTGTTGATTAGGTTATTGATGTATGTGTTTTCCCCCAAACAGGTTACTGTTGAGGTTCTGTCTTAGGGGAAAAAAAGCTGGCCACAGTGGCTGGCCCTGAATGCTGTGTCCGGGTTTTGTCCTCCTTTTGTCCTCTTGGTGCTTGCGGTTGTCCTGCTCTTGTCCTTTGGCCGCGCTGGCCAACCGTGTGTCCTTGTCCTCCTCCTGTCCTCCTCTTGTCATTCTCGTGCTTGCAGTTGTCCTGCTGTTGTCCTCTAGGGAAGAAGAATCCCAGCCAGCATATGGCTGATGAAAGACTCCCCACCTTCAACTCCTGGCAAGAGATATTTTGCTTGTGTTTGGAGCCTTATAAGTGATCTGGACTACATGGTGAGCATTCTAAAGCTTCCCCATTATGGAAGCAAGAAAGCACCATGCGCAATTTGCACATGCACTGGTGGTGATGCTGCTTCTTCATGGAAAGACTGCAGGAAGAATGCAGCTTGGGTAAACTTGTTTTGGAAAACAGGAATGGCAAGCTTGGCCTGACCTTTCACCCTGAAAATTCTTTGCACACACAGTTGGCTACTTGAATGTGTGCTACGATACCAAGCACTTGGGCACTGATGCCACCCAATTTGGTTCGATCCTCTACATTCTGTGTCCATGCAGCAGTGGTACAGAAAGCACAAGATTGAAAGCAAGTATTGCTCATTCAGAAAGACCACAGTGTTCTACAACCAAAAGAAAAAAATTGCACCCAAGTTTAAAGGAAAAGCAACACCACATGGGTGGCTTTGGGTGGATTCTTGTTGCAGCAACACCACATGAACCAGGGTCTAACATGGTCTAACCCCATCCACAAGAAGGTCAAGCAGATGTGGAAGCTCCACTGCGCACTGGAAACACTGGAGAGCTGTCTTTCCCAACTGCTGATGCCGAGCTTTTCAAGAACTTTGCTTTTGGGATGGCACTGTCACACAGAGAGGTGGCTGTGCATTTCCAAGACCATGTTCTCTGATTGTTTTCAGATATTCCTAAGCTCCACCCTCTTCTGCAAATCGCAATGGAATGCGACAAACTGAGCCCAAGAATGACCTGGTGCTACAAGGGGGAGGATTTCATGCGATGTCACAGATCACTTGCACAAAGTATTGCAACCAGACTTAGTCCTCCAGGTGTGTGTGCCAAAATGGTGCACAAAATCCGGTTGGCATTGCATTGCATTGAAGCATGTTTTGTGGCAGCTTGCAAGGCAGGTTCTGGCAACATTGTAAGTTATTTTTATGCTAAAACCACATCAAATGATTGCCTTACATTTGCCGCAATCGATAATTACATAAACATAAATAGTTATAAATTAGTTTTTAACATAACAAATAGCCTTTAGAAAAGGGTTATATCCCAGGAAATTAACACAAATAACATGGTTGGAAAAAAAGTCGACAAATAGTCTAACCTGGGCCTGAGGGTAGTGTTACCACACTGTTTGGGGCATAAGGAACTCTGAGAAGACGAGCTTCGGAAAGACCAGAATTGTTTGTAATTGTGGAACACTTCACATATATATATATATATCAAATGTTTCAATGACACTTCTGTTTGTAGGGTCAAAGCCCCAGTCTCAAAGCTCTTCGCGTTGCATACGCACCTTTGCTAACAACACATTGGAACCGACCATTTGGTTAGCAGTCGACAAACAAAATCCCGCCAGAGAACGCCCTGGGTTTGCGCATCATCCCGCCCTGATGATGTCATGTCACATCTGAAACAACTGACATTTGAGCAGTGCGAGGCCCGATGTGGGGTAGACTCCGAGTCTATCAGGGGAAGAACGTTTAAATTAGTTCCAATTTGGGAATTCCTCAATTCACTAGGTTTGCGCACAGTCTTTCTCGCACCCGTCCCTCTTCATCCCTCTGTCGTCGCCACCACCTTGGAGGTATATATTGCTTTCCGGTTCTGTGTACATGGAAGCAGGTGTGGGTTCCTTCGGGTTCGGTAGACGGAACAGTGGCTCTGGTGGGCGGCCAAGGGCTACAGGGATGGACTTGTGCAATTGTTATTTTCTAGGGATCCAGTCGGACCTTCTCAGAAGGTGTTTGGGGAGGGTTTGGAGGGTCCAGGTGCCTTCTGAGAAGGTCATTGGATCCCTAGGGGATGTTTGTTATTCCCTAGGGCTCCAGTCGTACCTCCTCAGAAGGTATGACTGGAGCCTCTAAACTCACCTCAGTCCCACCTTCTTAGAAGGTACGACTGGAGCCCTAGGGATTGGGGAACTCCCAAAGTTCAATATCAACAGGCAATTGCCAGATATATTAACAATTCCAGGGTTTGTTTTGGTGAGCAGGTAGATTTCGATCCCCGTACGGCTTGGAATACTGCAGTTCTGAGCAGACCAGGAAATGACACTGGTCAGCAGGGTAGAGTTGAAGCGACCCGGAAATTGACGCCAGGCTAATGGGTTACAAGCTCAGGGGATGTGTCCATAAATCATAGAATTTGTGTACCAGGAGTCACAAAGGAGCCAAGTGAGTGGATAATGGGCACCCCTAACCTCCATTAAGCACCCCTTTGTGACTGCTGGTAAATATATGTGGTTTAGGTCAATGTTGATGACAACATCCGGCTTACCTGGCGCGGCTGTTTCCCCTCGGACATGGTCCTTGTCGCCCCATCGTTCCGTCCCAGTTCTGGGACAGAACTGAGCGCTTTGTCACTAACCTTGAGTGTTCTGTTTGGTGTTCCAATGCCTTGATGCCTGGAGTCTTAGTTGTACAGTTCTACAAGTTCCGTTTTTGAATCGAGGTGTGTTTCCTTCCTCAATGGCCACATCCAGTTGACCAACCACCAAATCCGTGTGACCACCGTGACACTGTCCCAGACACGACCGGTGGCACTGGCGCATTCACATACATTGGGGTGTGTGACCCGGGGCCGGTAAAGACACCACACGTGCCATGATTGCCATGCGTGGAGTGTTTGGGTATTATGTTTGTTTGATTTCTGTAAACTATCCCTGGGGCCCACTGTCACCTTCTCAGAAGTTACTTGAACCCTCCAAGCCTATACTGCCTATACTTAAAAACAGAAGTATCCAATCACCTTCAATTTGTTTCATGTTGATCCATAGGGTACAGTTAAGCCAGTTTGTTCTTTTACAGCCTTGGTCATGGTCTTGCTCTTGCTTTGTCTCATATGTTTCAGCCGTATTTGGACACCTTGTGGGGCACATCTCCACTTCTGTGGCACCTAGAAACCCTTGTCAGAGACCCAGGCTTGCGGCAGCCGAGCGGGATGGCTTAAAAAGAAGTCCCCATATCATAGGAGTGAAAACACTGGAAGACTTGCTGGAACAACGACTGTTTGCTGGTTTATATATATATATAAAAGACATGCTGAAACATCATGTACAACCTGGAAGCGCCATAAATATCACACCACGAGTTGTCCACATGTTTGTTTCTATCGCAGGTCATTCTACAACACTAGATATATGATCATGATTTCTCAGAGTCACTGCCGTCCATTGACCAATTCTTTTTCTTGCGGTGTTGGGCTTCCAAGTCCTCGTCCACCACTCGCGCGCCCTTTCCAACGTCTGGACGTTGGAACTTGGATCAAGCCCTGCGCCCGATGGAGTCGCCGGTCGTACCAGCGTCCCACGCGTATGGAGCGAGCCATGTGAGCGAGTCCCCATGTGAGCGAGTCCCCTCGCATGGCTCCACATGGAGCGCCGAAGCACAGCTGAAGGTGCTGTTTGGAGCGATGAGTCTTACCCTCCCAGGACCTGTCACCATCCTCCTCCTGATGTTGGTACAGTAGAGGAACAAGTCGCGGGAGCCCCACACAGGACTCTTCCATACAGGGAGAATACTTTGAAGATGGGGCTGAGGAGGGACTTGGACACTAGCAGTCACTAGCACCAGACCATTTCACTGCTGCCAAGGCGGCCACAAGATGTAAAATCCAAAAGTTCCAGTTGATGTCCCATCCCTTGTCCCCCCTAGAGTTGTCCAGTACAGAACTGAACAATTCTCCAACAGAATGGGTGTCGAGCTTCATTGAAGCTCCATCTTTTGGATCTGCTGCTACCTAAGAATTCGCGATGTGCAGCCTCGTGTGGAACCATGATTGCCAAGAACCAGCTCAGAAGATATAGGATCATACCAATGGGTGTCCAATAGACTACCCTACCCTAAATATGGGTCTCCAGACAGCGCACCCATTGGAATTGCTAGGGTCAACTGGGACCGTGGCTTTCTGAAGCGAAAAGGAGGGATCTTGGGTCTCTCAGACTCTCAGACTCTGAGTGAACTTCATTAGTGACTTCTACAAGCTGGAGGGCGAAGACTCTTTCAGCACTCCGAACACATGACCCGTCCTCCGAGAAAAGTGACGTTTTTTTGGACATGTTCTCCCTTTTCCTTCAATGTATCGATGGCTGAAAACGCCAACACACCTCGGGGCGGCTTCCCCAAGTCGCCAGGGAGAGGGGAGAACCTCGCCGGGAGGCCGAACGAGCGGACGGGGAGAGGGGAGAACCTCGCCCAGGAGCGTTTGGAGTGCTGGGATGAGGTGGCGGAGCTCTTCGGCCCGCCGATTGTCCCCCTGAGCGACCACACGAGCTCGGTGGTGGGGGCGAGCCTGACCTCGTGATCTGGGCTGCAGTCCAGAAACGACACCGAAGTGCTTGTTAGCATCCGATGGGATTCTGTAAGTTGATCATGCTATCTCTAGGGCTCAGCGCTCCTACCATATCAATCCACAGAAGGTGCTATAACCAGCTTCTCAGGAGCGCTCTTCCAGGAGCCCTATAGGGTATAATATGCATCCGAGTCCGGGCCCTCATGGTTCCTGCTCAGAGTCGGTCTTGTTGTCCTCACGGCCCAAGCAGAAGGCGCTTTCGCTCCGAAGAGTCCGGGTGACCGGTCGAGGTCGGAGCTGAGGAGCTGAAGATGTTGGGAAGCTCATGCCCAGATGCTCCATGGGACTGCCATATATATATACATTGGGGTATACCCGTACGAATTTCCTTTAAAAAATCAACCTCCCTGGGTAACAAAAAGAGCTTCGATATTGTAAAGAAAAAGGTTTGTTTCCAGGTAGCCGTTTTTGTGGGGGTGGGGAGGTTGATTTTGTAAGGGCAACATTCTTTCTTGGGGCTGTTGATTTTGTAAGGAATCAATATGTTGGTATGGAGGTCAAAAGTGCCGCATTGGTGAGGGTGGGGAGGTTGATTCTATGCAAGTTTTAGGGTGGGGTGGTGGTCATGGACAATCGATTCTGTAATCGATTGACCTGCTCTAAAGCATGGACAGTTGATTTTGTAGTGGGTTGAGCTGCTGCAGAACATGGTCTTCTAAATTCTCAATAATTCGCATAATTTTTCATGATATATCATAGATAGGATATATTAGAACACACACACACACACACGCACACACCAGGCATCCCAAGAGCCTCGTTGAGTCTCGCTGCTGAGTTGATGTTTAATGAAAGTGTTCTCCATGGATAGTCCGGGCCGGTCCGGGCGGGCCCGGCCACCGCGGGCCGGGCCACTGCGGGTCGGTCCGGGCGGTCCGGGCCGGTCCACTGCGGTCCTTCCATTTGTATAGGTCCTTTGTGGAATCCACCAAACCACACCTCAAATCCACCGCCCCGGCGTGGCGTAAGGAGACCGCCTGACGCAGTGGGCAAAGGAAGAACCTATGCATCAAGATGTACCCACAAACACTTTATAGAGGATGGATTGGCTGGTTTTTTAGTCTGTGCGAATAAACCCTTTAATATTGTCGGTCTACGGAGCTGTACTTGGGGTTTAGTTTTGATTAAACCCTTTTTGGTCGAGTAAGGGCCCTCACTCGATCACAAAGGGTTTACATCCTGATCCAAACCCCAAACCCAAGGGTGTGAATATCAATCGACCAAAAAGGGTTTAATCAAAACTAAACCCCCATTCCAGCTCCGTAGACCGACAACAGTAGAAAGGGGTTTATTCGCACAGACTAAAAACACTTTGCCGATCCCTCCTCTAACATATTTGTGGGTACATCTTGATGCATAGATTCTTCCTTTGCCCACTGCGTCAGCTGGCCTCCTGACGGATGTGCCGGGGAAGGGAGTTCGCACGGGCCGGGCCGGGCCGGGCCGGGCCTCGGGCCGGGCCGGGGTCAACGGTAGACCCGGCTATCCATGTTCTCTTTGAGCCCAGTCTATCCCACACTTCAAGGCCTTCTGCTGGAAGATCCTTTTTCTTCTTTGCCTTCTTTGGTGGAGGAGTATCCACACCTGCCGCAATTAAACATCTAGTGAGGGCTTCTGAAGGCACTTGTTTCTAGGTTAAACAGGTTTTTCTACTGTATCGAACCAGTCTGATAAACTCTGTCAAAAAGTCTCCCAACAGACCCATTGAAACCCACGCTTCACTTGCCTTCTGCTTGAAGACTCTTCGCCTTCCGCGCCTTCTTAGATGCTGGAGTTCCCGCACCTGCCGCAATTAAATGTCTATAGATGTCTAGTCAGGGCTTCTGGGGGTAATGGTTTCCAGGTGGACACATGAAGGATCATGAAGGTAAAAGTACCAAGGAAGATGTGAAACCTCAAAGTCCTAAATCTTCAACAACTCCCAACGCAACCCTGGAACCCCCACACTCCAATGCCTTCTACTAGAGGCTCATGCTTCACCTTCGTTGTCGCAGAAATTTCCCCACCTGTCACAAGTGAGCCGGGAGAGAGGGCTTTTGAAAGCCTTCTATCTAGGTGGATATCTACAAGCGCCGTACTTAAGTCAACCCACGTCGCGTGAAGTCAACTCGCTGCATGGGCACAAGGTTTCAGCGAGAAGTCAACATCAACCAAGGGACCTGTGAACATCAACCAAGGGACCTGTGAACCTGTGAACCTGTAGCGATAAGTAAACCGAGACTGAGATTCTTGATTCTGTATAAGTGCCTCTGGATGCTCTCTTGGTGCCTCTG